CCCAAACCCCCCAGCCCTTACCCCCTGGTTCATATATATTCTCCCCAGCCATCCCATATATACCCTGGTCTCATATATATCTCCCAGCCAGCCAGCCCATATATACTGGTCTCATCATATATTCTCCCAGCCCAGCCAGCCCATATACCCTGGTTCATCATATATTCTCCCCAGCCAGCCAACCCATATATACCCTGGTCTCATCATATATTCTCCCCAGCCCAGCGCCCATATATACCCTGGTCATCATATATTCTCCCCAGCCAGCCAGCCCATATATACCTGGTCTCATCATATATTCTCCCCAGCCCAGCCAGCCCATATATACCTGGTCTCATCATATATTCTCCCCAGCCCAGCCAGCCCATATATACCCTGGTCTCATCTAATTCTCCCAGCCCAGCCAGCCCATATATACCTGGTCTCATCATATATTCTCCCCAGCCCAGCCAGCCCATATATACCCTGGTCATCATATATTCTCCCAGCCCATCAGCCCATATATACCTGGTCTCATCATATATTCTCCCCAGCCCAGCCAGCCCTATATACCCTAGTCTAATCAATATTCCCCAGCCCAGCCAGCCAGCCCATATATACCCTGGTCTCATCATAATTCTCCCAGCCCAGCCAGCCCATATATACCCTAGTCTCATCATATATTCTCCCCAGCCAGCCAGCCAGCCATATATACCCTAGTCTCATCATATATCCTCCCAGCCCATCCAGCCAGCCCATATATACCCTGGTCTCATCATATATTCTCCCCAGCCCAGCAGCCAGCCCATATATACCCTGGTCTCATCATATATTCTCCCCAGCCCAGCCAGCCCATATATACCCTGGTCTCATCATATATTTTCCCAGCCCAGCCAGCCCATATAACCTGGTCTCATCATATATTTTCCCCAGCCCAGCCAGCCCATATATACCCTGGTCTTAATCATATATTTTCCCCAGCCCAGCCAGCCCATATATACCCTGGTCTCATCATATATTTCCCCAGCCCATCCAGCCCATATATACCCTGGTCTCATCATATATTTTCCCCAGCCCATCCGCCAGCCCATATATACCCTGGTCTCATCATATATTTCCCCAGCCCAGCCAGCCCATATATACCCATGGTCTCATCATATATTTCCCCAGCCCAGCCAGCCATATATACCCTGGTCTCATCATATATTCTCCCCAGCCCAGCCAGCCCATATATACCCTGGTCTCATCATATATTCTCCCCAGCCCAGCCAGCCCATATATACCCTGGTCTCATCATATATTCTCCCCAGCCCAGCCAGCCCATATATACCCTGGGTCTCATCATATATTCTCCCCAGCCCATCCAGCCAGCCCATATATACCCTGGTCTCATCATATATTCTCCCCAGCCCAGCCAGCCCATATATACCCTGGTCTCATCATATATTCTCCCAGCCCAGCCAGCCCATATATACCCTGGTCTCATCATATATTCCCCAGCCCAGCCAAGCCCATATATACCCTAGTCTCATCATATATTCTCCCCAGCCATCCAGCCCATATATACCCTGGTCTCATCATATATTCTCCCCACCCAGCCAGCCATATATACCTGGTCTCATCATATATTCTCCCAGCCCAGCCAGCCCATATATACCCTGGTTCATCATATATTCTCCCCAGCCCAGCCAGCCCATATATACCCTAGTCTCATCATATATTCTCCCCAGCCCAGCCAGCCCATATATACCCTGGTCTCATCATATATTCTCCCCAGCCCATCCAGCCAGCCCATATATACCCTGGTCTCATCATATATTCTCCCCAGCCCAGCCAGCCCATATATACCCTGGTCTCATCATATATTCTCCCCAGCCCAGCCAGCCCATATATACCCTGGTCTCATCATATATTCTCCCCAGCCCATCCAGCCAGCCCATATATACCTGGTCTCATCATATATTCTCCCCAGCCCATCCAGCCAGCCCATATATACCCTGGCCCTCATCATATATTCTTCCCAGCCCACCCCAGCCAGCCCATATATACCCTGGTCTCATCATATATTCTCCCCAGCCCATCCAGCCAGCCCATATATACCCTGGTCTCATCATATATTCTCCCCAGCCCAGCCAGCCCATATATACCCTGGTCTCATCATATATTCTCCCCAGCCCAGCCAGCCCATATATACCCTGGTCTCATCATATATTCTCCCCAGCCCAGCCAGCCCATATATACCCTGGTCTCATCATATATTCTCCCAGCCCAGCCAGCCCATATATACCCTGGTCTCATCATATATTCTCCCCAGCCCAGCCAGCCCATATATACCCTGTCTCATCATATATATACCCCACCCAGCCAGCCACCCCATATATACCCGGGTCTCATCATATATTCTCCCCAGCCCAGCCAGCCCATATATACCCTAGTCTCATCATATATTCTCCCCAGCCCAGCCAGCCCTATATACCCTAGTCTATCATATATTCTCCCCAGCCCATCCAGCCAGCCCATATTACCCTGGTCTCATCATATATTCCTCCCCAGCCCATCCAGCCCATATATACCCTGGTCTCATCATATATTCTCCCCAGCCCAGCCAGCCCATATATACCCTGGTCTCATCATATATTCTCCCCAGCCCATCCAGCCAGCCATATATACCCTGGTCTCATCATATATTCTCCCCAGCCCAGCCAGCCCATATATACCCTGGTCTCATCATATATTCTCCCCAGCCCAGCCAGCCCATATATACCCTGGTCTCATCATATATACTACCCCACCCAGCCAGCCAGCCCATATATACCCTGGTCTCATCATATATTCTCCCCAGCCCAGCCAGCCCATATATACCCTAGTCTCATCATATATTCTCCCCAGCCCAGCCAGCCCATATATACCCTAGTCTCATCATATATTCTCCCCAGCCCAGCCAGCCCATATATACCCTGGTCTCATCATATATTCTCCCCAGCCCAGCCAGCCCATATATACCCTGGTCTCATCATATATTCTCCCCAGCCCCATCCAGCCAGCCCATATATACCCTGGTCTCATCATATATACTCCCCCAGCCCCAGCCAGCCCATAATACCCTGGTCTCATCCTATATTCTACCCAGCCCAGCCAGCCCATATATACCCCTGGTCTCATCATATATTCTCCCCAGCACCAGCCAGCCCATATATACCCTGGTCTCATCATATATTCTCCCCAGCCCCAGCCAGCCCATATATACCCTGGTCTCATCATATATTCATCCCCCAGCCATCCAGCCCCATATATACCCTGGTCTCATCATATATTCTCCCAGCCACATCCCAAGCCAGCCCATATATACCCTGGTCTCATCATATATTCTCCCCAGCCCAGCCAGCCCATATATACCCTGGTCTCATCATATATTCTCCCCAGCCCTCTCCACATTTGAGTTCCAGGATTGTTGTTTTGTTGTTGAGAACTACAGTCTGAATCTGTTCCAGTTCTATCCCACTATCCCCATGATTTTTCCTCCCCATGTTGTGATGTTGTGATTTTTCTATGTTCAGAATGTTATGTCACCTGACCCTCCTCCTCCTCATCATCATCATCATCATCAAAATAAATGTATTATTATCTTATCATATCCTTCTGTTTGCTTGAATCTCCTCCAGGAATTTCTCCAGGATTTATTTGTCCCTCATCTTGTGATGTTTTGTGTTCTTCCATGGAATGGGTCCTCCTGTCATCACGACCTTTACCAATTTCCCTGACCTCTGACCCTCCAGGCCGGTGATTGTGGAGATCCCCCACTTCGCGGCCCTGCGGGGGACGGAGCGGGAGCTGGTGATTCTGAGGAGTGAGATGGGGGAGAGCTGGAGGGAACATCACTGTGAGCACAGTGAGGAGGAACTCAACCAAATACTGAACGGCATGGACGAGGGTGAGACAGGGGGAGACAGGGGGGAGGAGGGGGAGTGGACTGGGGATGGAGGAGCAGGGAGGGAGTGGGGAGGGAGGAGCAGGGAGGAGGCAGGAGGGACTTGACAGCACCAGACTGCCATGCCAGCAATCGTTCAATTGTTCTACCTTGTTCATTCACCAAAGATGATGAAACAGTTAGGTCCCGACTGCTCAATCCGATTGGTCCTTGTGTATCGTCTGACCCCTGTTTTTTTCCCTGTCCTCCCATTGGTTTCCTCCTCCAGAGCTGGATTCTCCCGAGGAGCTGGAGAAGAAGAGGATTTGCCGTATCATCACCAGGGACTTCCCACAATACTTTGCGGTGGTGTCGCGCATCAAGCAGGACAGCCGACTGATTGGTCCTGAGGGAGGGGTGTTGAGCAGTACCCTGGTACCTCAGGTCCAGGCTGTGTTCCCAGAGGGAGCTCTCACTAAGAACATCAGGGTTGGACTACAGGTAGGAAGGTGGGGTCTGATGATCGAACAACTGAACACTTTTGAAGTTTTAATTTGTTTCTTACTTCCTGACTCTCGCGTTCCACTTCCTCCTAGGCTCAGCCAATCGGCGTAGACCTGGTGAAGAGGATTCTGGGTAACAGGGCTACGTTCAGCCCCATCGTTACCTTAGAGCCCAGGAGGCGGAAGTTCCACAAGCCAATCACCATGACGATCCCTGTCCCCAAGAGCTCGAGCAACGACGGGACAGCCAACGTGTTTGGAGGGGACACGCCCACTCTGCGTCTGCTCTGCAGTATCACTGGTACGTAGGAAATGACTGTTGGTTGGTTGGTTGATTGGTTGGTTGATTGGCAGGTTGGTTGGTTGGTTGATTGACTGACTGACTGAATGATTGATTGTGAGTAGTCATGTTTGCCTTCTTGATATACAGCAAAGCCTGGTTTGTAATCAACCCCACATTCATATTTAGAATATATTTACCAGAGAGTTCCATCCCGATGTGTGTTCTAGGTGGAACCACTCCTGCCCAATGGGAGGACATCACTGGCTCCACCCCCCTCACCTTCATCAACCAATGTGTGTCCTTCACCACCAACGTGTCAGCAAGGTGAGGGCTCCAGAGGGACTAGTGTGTTTTCATCTGATGTCTGTTGTTTTGACGTTCTGTTGAAAACACCATCCTCCTTCTGATTAAACTACTGATGGAATGATTGATTCTTCATTCGATTGGATTGATCGATCTATTACGTCCTAGATAGATAGATAGATAGATAGATAGATAGATAGATAGATAGATAGATAGATAGATAGATAGATAGATAGATAGATAGATAGATAGATAGATAGATAGATAGATAGATGAATCTATCAATTCATGAATTATTGATAATCCCCTCCCCCTCCGGTGCGCTGTAGGTTCTGTTTGATAGACTGACAGATTGATCTATTGATATTGATGAACTTATTGATTATTGATTCTCTACCTGTAGGTTTTGGCTGATAGACGGACAGATTTGATCTATGATAGATTGATGACTTATTGATTATTGATTCTCTACCTTTAGGTTCTGGCGATAGACTGACAGATTGACTATTGATAGATTGATGAACTTATTGATTATTGATTCTCTACCTGTAGGTTCTGGCTGATAGACTGACAGATTGATCTATTGATAGATTGATGAACTTATTGATTATTGATTCTCTACCTGTAGGTTCTGGCTGATAGACTGACAGATTGATCTATTGATAGATTGATGAACTTATTGATTATTGATTCTCTACCGGTAGGTTCTGGCTGATAGACTGACAGATTGATCTATTGATAGATTGATGAACTTATTGATTATTGATTCTCTACCTGTAGGTTCTGGCTGATAGACTGACAGATTGATCTATTGATAGATTGATGAACTTAATTGATTATTGATTCTCTACCTGTAGGTTTCTGGCTGATAGACTGACAGATTGATCTATTGATAGATTGATGAACTTATTGATTATTGATTCTCTACCTGTAGGTTCTGGCTGATAGACTGACAGATTGATCTATTGATAGATTGATGAACTTATTGATTATTGATTCTCTACCTGTAGGTTCTGGCTGATAGACTGACAATTGATCTATTGATAGATTGATGAACTTATTGATTATTGATTCTCTACCTGTAGGTTCTGGCTGATAGACTGCAGATTGATATATTGATGATTGATGAATCTATGATTATGATTCTCTAACTACTACCTTAGGTTCTGGCTGATAGACCCTATTGAAGCTCATTGAAGAACTGTGACCCTATTGATGCCACTGTAGGTGTTGCTGATAGGACGACAGATGGACAGATTGATAGATTGATGAACTTAGAGTTGGCTTCCTGTAGGTCGTTTGATGCTGACGATGATCTATTGTAGATTGATGAATTATGATTATTGATCTCTACTGTAGGTTCTGTGATGTTTAGAGTTTCTCTGTGTCGAGAGTCATCTGGAAGTCGATCTTGCATAGATGACTTCATGAGGTCGTGTGCTTCGGAGTAGACGTAGATGTGAAGATGGAAGCAGTGAGAGTCAGAGTGGAGGAGTTTTGTATGTATGTAGACGTGGAATGGGGAGGTTTGGGGAGGGGGAGAGACCCTGAAGCAGGAGAGAGACTTCATAGAGGTGGCCCGGAGTAGAGAGGTGAGGTGAGAGGGGAAGTAGGAGAGGAGATGGGAGGGAGGGAGAGAGGGAGGGAGGGAGGGGGGGGGAAGGGGGAGAGACCCTGGAACAACAAGGGAAATTCGCAAAGGTGACCCAGAGCAGAGATGTGGTGAGGGGGAAGGAGGGCGGAATGGAGAGGCAGGAGGGTGGGAGAGGGGGTGAGGAGGGGAGAGGGAGGACGGAGAGGAGGAGAAACCCTGGAACAACAGGAGGAGGGGAGAGGGAGGGGAGGGGTAGGGAGGAGGGAGAGGAGGAGAAACCCTGGAACAGGAGGAGGGGAGAGGGAGGGGGAGAGGTAGGGAGGAGGGAGAGGTGACCCGGCACCAGTTCAGTAAAGATTTCCCCAAACCGTAACAGTTCTTTGATTTCATTTCATTCATGCTCGCTGTCGACAAGACTGATTTATGCAGAATGCACAGTTATATTATTTAGACAATACTTTAAACACATAAGATGCAGTACATGGTTCTTGGTGTCTGACCCTAGCTCTCTACTGTCTGTCTGTCTGCCTGCCTGTCTGTCTGTCTGTCTGTCTGTCTGCCTGCCTGTCTGTCTGTCTGTCTGTCTGTCTGTCTGTCTGTCTGTCTGTCTGTCTGCCTGCCTGTCTGTCTGCCTGCCTGCCTGCCTGTCTGCCTGTCTGTCTGTCTGCCTGTCTGCCTGCCTGTCTGCCTGTCTGTCTGCCTGTCTGCCTGTCTTTCTGCCTGCCTGTCTGTCTGTCTGTCTGTCTGTCTGTCTGCCTGTTTGCCTGCCTGTCTGTCTGTCTGTCTGTCTGTCTGTCTGTCTGTCTGTCTGTCTGTCTGTCTGTCTGTCTGTCTGTCTGTCTGTCTGTCTGTCTGCCTGCCTACCTGCCTGTCTGTCTGTCTGTCTGTCTGTCTGTCTGTCTGTATGTCTGCCTGCCTGCCTGCCTGCCTGCCTGTCTGTCTGCCTGCCTGCCTTTCTGTCTGTATGTCTGTCTGTCTGTCTGTCTGCCTGTCTGTCCATACTACAGGTGTTGGAGGGGAAGCCGATCTTTGCAGACTGTTTTGGGAACCTGGTTCCTCTGACCAAGAGTGGACAGCATCACGCCTTCAGCTTCTACGCATTCAAAGAGAACCGCCTCGCACTCTTCATCAAGGTAACACGCCATTACTGGACTTCTTATACACTGGGGAAGTGTGACGCGGTTGTCCGCTTTGTTTTAGTTCTGAATGGACTTCATGCACCAAACCCACGGAAATAAAAACGGTGATAGAATACATCAAAGACACTGGTATATCATTTAATATGTATTTTAATTCGTTTGATTAACAGTACAATAAAAGTGGATACCAGAAAATGTTTTTCACTTTCCCAGCGAATAACCACACACTCACCTGATTCCAGGGCTTTCCAGTGATTGGTTGATTGATTGATTGATTGACTGGCTGACTGACCAACTAACTGATTCATTGATTGATTGACAGATTCGTGACAGCGCCCAGGAGCCGTGTGGCAGACTGTCCTTCACCAAGGAGCCCCGCACCTACCGTAGTCTTACCCACAATGCAATCTGCAACCTGAACATCACGCTGCCCACCTACTGCAAGGTAAGACACCTGAACACACCTGGACTGGACACAGTGTGTAATAACATTAAATAATGCTGGACAAAGTGTGTAATAACATTAAATAATGCTGGACACACCTGGACTGGACACAATGTGTAATAACATTAAATAATGCTGGACACAATATGTAATAACATTAAATAATGCTGGACACACCTGGACTGGACACAATGTGTAATAACATTAAATAATGCTGGACACACCTGGACTGGACACAATATGTAATAACATTAAATAATGCTGGACACACCTGGACTGGACACAATGTGTAATAACATTAAATAATGCTGGACACACCTGGACTGGACACAATGTGTAATAATATTAAATAATGCTGGACACACCTGGACTGGACACAATGTGTAATAACATTAAATAATGCTGGACACACCTGGACTGGACACAATGTGTAATAACGTTAAATAATGCTGGACACACCTGGACTGGACACAATGTGTAATAACATTAAATAATGCTGGACACACCTGGACTGGACACAATGTGTAATAACATTAAATAATGCTGGACACAATGTGTAATAATATTCAATAATGCTGGACACACCTGGACTGGACACAATGTGTAATAACATTAAATAATGCTGGACATGCCTGGATATCACAATAGTATGATGTACATCCCTTAAATGGTACCCCGATCCCTATATTGTGACCGGGTCATAAGTAGTGCACTAAATAGGGGCTCTGGTCTAAAGTAGTGCACTATAAAGGGGCTCTGGTCTAAAGTAGTGCACTATAAAGGGGCTCTGGTCTAAAGTAGTGCACTATAAAGGGGCTCTGGTCTAAAGTAGTGCACTATAAAGGGGTTCTGGTCTAAAGTATTGCACTATAAAGGGGCTCTGGTCTAAAGTAGTGCACTAAATAGGGGCTCTGGTCTAAAGTAGTGCACTATAAAGGGGCTCTGGTCTAAAGTAGTGCACTATAAAGGGGCTCTGGTCTAAAGTAGTGCACTATAAAGGGGTTCTGGTCTAAAGTATTGCACTATAAAGGGGCTCTGGTCTAAAGTAGTGCACTATAAAGGGGCTCTGGTCTAAAGTAGTGCACTATAAAGGGGCTCTGGTCTAAAGTAGTGTACTATAAAGGGGCTCTGGTCTAAAGTAGTGCACTATAAAGGGGCTCTGGTCTAAAGTAGTGCACTATAAAGGGGCTCTGGTCTAAAGTAGTGCACTATAAAGGGGCTCTGGTCTAAAGTAGTGCACTATAAAGGGAATAGGGTGCCATTTGGGACGCAGCCATAATGTGCACTAACATAAAGTGAGTAGGTAAAGTGAGTAATGCTGTCCCTAAGCAGGTCTGGCTGAATGTGAATAATGCTGTCCCAAAGCAGATCTGGCTGAATGTGAATAATGCTGTCCCTAAGCAGATCTGGCTGAATGTGAATAATGCTGTCCCTAAGCAGATCTGGCTGAATGTGAATAATGCTGTCCCTAAGCAGATCTGGCTGGATGTGAATAATGCTGTCCCTAAGCAGATCTGGCTGAATGTGAATAATGCTGTCCCTAAGCAGATCTGGCTGAATGTGAATAATGCTGTCCCGAAGCAGATCTGGCTGAATGTGAATAATGCTGTCCCTAAGCAGATCTGGCTGAATGTGAATAATGCTGTCCCTAAGCAGATCTGGCTGAATGTGAATAATGCTGTCCCAAAGCAGATCTGGCTGAATGTGAATAATGCTGTCCCAAAGCAGATCTGGCTGAATGTGAATAATGCTGTCCCAAAGCAGATCTGGCTGAATGTGAATAATGCTGTCCCTAAGCAGATCTGGCTGAATGTGAATAATGCTGTCCCTAAGCAGATCTGGCTGAATGTGAATAATGCTGTCCCGAAGCAGATCTGGCTGAATGTGAATAATGCTGTCCCAAGCAGATCTGGCTGAATGTGAATAATGCTGTCCCGAAAGCAGATCTGGCTGAATGTGAATAATGCTGCCCCGAAAGCAGATCTGGCTGAATGTGAATAATGCTGTCCCAAAGCAGATCTGGCTGAATGTGAATAATGCTGTCCCAAAGCAGATCTGGCTGAATGTGAATAATGCTGTCCCAAAGCAGATCTGGCTGAATGTGAATAATGCTGTCCCAAAGCAGATCTGGCTGAATGTGAATAATGCTGTCCCTAAGCAGATCTGGCTGAATGTGAATAATGCTGTCCCTAAGCAGATCTGGCTGAATGTGAATAATGCTGTCCCTAAGCAGATCTGGCTGAATGTGAATAATGCTGCCCCAAGCAGATCTGGCTGAATGTGAATAATGCTGTCCCTAAGCAGATCTGGCTGAATGTGAATAATGCTGCCCCAAAGCAGATCTGGCTGAACGTCTTCTTTATTTTGCTCCTTGGTGTCCTATTCAGGAGTCTGATTCAGACCTGGACGCAGACGACGAGGTAACCAACTACACCTTTTTCCAGAACATTCTTCTTGTTAAATTTGTTTTAAAAAAATGTTAGAAGACTTTTACCTGATTTCTGTTTATCAGCTGAATGTATTCAACATGTTGTATTGACCCCCTCCTCTCTTACAGAGTGACAAGAGTGACAAGAAATGTAAGCTTGAGCTATTTGTTTTTTTAAAATGATTACGTTTGTTGGTAGTGACGAATACAACCTCTGCATTAACTAACCTTCATAACTACCTGTAGTCCAGGAAGAACATATTCAATTACGTTGTGGTTTTTTTTAATGCAGTACGCAGGCCAGTGATTTTGCATTGCTTAGCATAAAATAACGTCCGTTTGACTAACCGAGTTGTGTGTAATATAATATTACTAACACCTTGTTCAGTTAACTGTGGGTCCCTGGCCGCTATGCTATGGCTGGTATGCGTTGCATCCCTTCCTCTCCAATGCCCATTCTGTTTCTCCCTCCTTCAATCCCTCCTTCATCCATTCAACCATCATCATCATCATCACATCATCATCATCACGCTATTTCAGTTTTATAGAAGTCAAAGGGAATGCTTAAGATACTGTATGAATGCTTGAGATACTGTATGAATGCTTGAGATACTGTATGAATGCTTGAGATACTGTATGAATGCTTAAGATACTGTATGTGTGCTTGAGATACTGTATGAATGCTTCAGATACTGTATGAATGCTTGAGATACTGCATGAATGCTTCAGATACTGTATGAATGCTTGAGATACTGTATGAATGCTTCAGATACTGTATGAATGCTTGAGATAATGTATGAATGCTTGAGATACTGTATGAATGCTTGAGATACTGTATGAATGCTTCAGATACTGTATGAATGCTTGAGATACTGTATGAATGCTTCAGATACTGTATGAATGCTTGAGATACTGTATGAATGCTTGAGATACTGCATGTGTGCTTGAGATACTGTATGAATGCTTGAGATACTGTATGAATGCTTGAGATACTGTATGAATGCTTGAGAATACATATATATATGCCATGGCACTTCCAATGTGAATATATCACATCCAATTATTTAAACGTATTTGGATGGCTAACAAAAACACACTGTACTATAGCAATATGTTAAACAAACTTTAATTTAATTCCAGATTTTTGCTTGTTTGGAATGAATTCAAAGAAGGAATTCATATAATGTGAATGTAAAGTTAATTTTTGTCTCCGATCACTCCCTTATTGTACTTCCATGGTTGCTGAAACACTTTCTTTGCTCTGCATGAAAATAACTTGACTCACATACATATGGTATATGTTTGGTAGTCTGTGTGTGTGCGTGTGTTCGTGTGTGTGTATTCTGCCTGTACGTGTGTGTGTGTCTGTGTGTGTGTGTCTATGTGTGTGTATTCTGCCTGTATGTGTGTGTGTATGTCCGTGTGTGTGTGTGTCCGTGTGTGTGTGTGTGTCTGTGTGTGTATATTCTGCCTGTACGTGTGTGTGTATGTCCGTGTGTGTGTGTGTCCGTGTGTGTGTGTGTATTCTGCCTGTACGTGTGTGTATGTCCGTGTGTGTGTATGTCTGTGTGTGTGTGTCTGTGTGTGTGTATTCTGCCTGTATGTGTGTGTGTGTCCTGTGTGTGTGTCTGTGTATGTGTATTCTGCCTGTACGTGTGTGTGTATGTCCGTGTGTGTGTGTGTCCGTGTGTGTGTGTCTGTGTGTGTGTATTCTGCCTGTACGTGTGTGTGTGTGTGTGTGTATGTCTCTATCTCTCTTTTTAAGTTCTCTGAATTCATTTCTCGATTCATTAGCATGTTATATCACTGGTATCTTTTCTGTTATTGATTCATTAGCATGTTATATCACTGATATCTTTTCTGTTATCAATTCATTAGCATGTTATATCACTGGTATCTTTTCTGTTATCAATTCATTAGCATGTTATATCACTGGTATCTCTTCTGTTATCAATTCATTAGCGCTTTTCACTTTTTACAGATCACTGAACTTCCTCTAATGAAAGCGCTTTTCTGAATGTTTAAAACACACCTAATAGTTCAGAAACCAAAACGGCATGATAAGATATTTATTTACAACATTAACTGAGGTTATCTACATGTATTTATATATAGTTTTACTGATAAGTTATTTATTTACAACATTAACTGAGGTTTACTACATGTATTTATATATAGTTTTACTGATAAGTTATTTATTTACAACATTAACTGAGATTTACTACATGTATTTATATATAGTTTTACTGATAAGTTATTTATTTACAACATTAACTGAGGTTTACTACATGTATTTATATATAGTTTTACTGATAAGTTATTTATTTACAACATTAACTGAGGTTTACTACATGCATTTATATATAGTTTTTACTGATAAGTTATTTATTTACAACATTAACTGAGGATTTCTACATGTATTTATATATAGTTTTACTGATAAGTTATTTATTTACAACATTAACTGAGATTTACTACATGTATTTATATATAGTTTTACTGATAAGTTATTTATTTACAACATTAACTGAGATTTACTACATGTATTTATATATAGTTTTACTGATAAGTTATTTATTTACAACATTAACTGAGGTTTTCTACATGTATTTATATATAGTTTTACTGATAAGTTATTTATTTACAACATTAACTGAGGTTTTCTACATGTATTTATATATAGTTTTACTGATAAGTTATTTATTTACAACATTAACTGAGGTTTTCTACATGTATTTATATATAGTTTTACTGATAAGTTATTTATTTACAACATTAACTGAGGTTTACTACATGTATTTATATATAGTTTTACTGATAAGTTATTTATTTAAAACATTAACTGAGGTTTACTACATGTATTTATACATAGTTTTACTCATATGTTATTTATTTACAACATTAACTGAGGTTTTCTACATGTATTTATATATAGTTTTACTGATAACTTATTTATTTACAACATTAACTGAGGTTTTCTACATGTATTTATATATAGTTTTACTCCCCATTTGTTTCTATTTACTTTAGAATTCCTGACAGTTTTTTACCAGCGGTTTTTACGAGGCGCGGGAAACGTTCTACTCTTTTCTCTCTGTTCGCTTTTGTCAGTGGACATGAACCCTTCATGTTGAGAACAATCTTGAGATGCTTTTGTGTGAAACCAGTCTGTTTTCTCCCTCCATTTGTTCCATATTCATCAGGGTTGGGGGGTCAATTCCATTTAAATTCAAACGGTCAATTCAGAAAGTAAACCAAAATTCAAATTCCACATGTTCCTAATTGAAAAGCATTGAAGAGAATTTGAATTTTGGAACTGGAATTTCAGTGTACTTCCTGAATTGACTAGAATTTTAATGGAGTTGACCCCAACCCTGGTATTCAGGTCTCTCACCATTTTCATTTTTCCACCTCCCTGTTGTGTTTATGACAACTTCCCTGTTGTGTTTAGACTACTTCCCTGTTGTGTTTATGACGACTTCCCTGTTGTGTTTATGACGACTTCCCTGTTGTGTTTATGACGACTTCCCTGTTGTGTTTATGACGACTTCCCTGTTGTGTTTAGACTACTTCCCTGTTGTGTTTATGACGACTTCCCTGTTGTGTTTAGACTACTTCCTGTTGTGTTTAGACTACTTCCCTGTTGTGTTTAGACGGCTTCCCTGTTGTGTTTAGACGACTTCCCTGTTGTGTTTATGACGACTTCCCTGTTGTGTTTAGACGACTTCCCTGTTGTGTCTATGACGACTTCCCTGTTGTGTTTAGACTACTTCCCTGTTGTGTTTAGACTACTTCCTGTTGTGTTTATGACTACTTCCTGTGTCATATGTATGAACGTGCAGTCAAACACACCAATATGTATTGACAGGTTATTTCTTGCCCATATCTTTCCTCCGTCCTGTTCTGTTTCTCTTTCTGTTTGCTTCGCTTTCTGCTGTTGCTGCCCTCCTCCTCCCGGCTCTCCTCTGGAGATCTTACCACTCCTCTTCCTTTGTCAAGCTGCTTTAACTTTTCCCTCTTTGAACAGAAGATATACTGGGATATGTTCTGCCCTGACCACGGTTTTCCGGTATCTTCTCTTCCCCCCTTATGTTCTTTACATCTTTGGTTTGGTCTCCTCCTTTTTTTCAAAATGGAAGACGACGAGACGGAGTCGACAGACACTTACACGCTGCCGACCAATCAGGTGCTAGACCCAGCCACGCTAGCCAGCCCTGACCTTCTATCAGAGGTCTCCGACGTGAAGCACGACCTCATCAAGATGTCTGCCATCTTGACGACAGAGCAAACTGAACACCCAAGCTCTTCGGATAGAGGAAGAGGAGGAGGAAGAGGAGGAGGAAGGACAGGGATGGAGGAGGAACCCAGAGAGCCGTTTGAGATCATGGAACAGGTGAAAGAGGATCTGGAGAAGGTCGGAGAGATTTTACGAGGGGGAGATACTAGATTCACAAACAACAAAGAGAACGTACTGCAGATGTCCGAATTAGAGGACGAGGAGTGGGTTCTTCTCTCTCAGACTAAAGCCAAAGCCATGACTCCCTCTGAGGTTCAGGAGCCGGTACTACAAGAAGTCAGCATTCAGAGGAAGACCTCTTCCACAGTGACCAAAGAGGTTAGAGATATGTCAGGTATGGTATCTCACCTCAGTGGGGAAATGAACCAGCACCTAGAAGAGAGACCTGCCATAACCAGTGGCCCACCACAGGACAGCATCGTCCAGGAGAGGTTTGATCAGGTCGATCTGAAGCGGGAAGGCAAACGCCATCCTCCTGAGATCAAAAAGCCGATCAGGAAGAAGCTGAGGGACAGGGAACGTTCTGGATGCAGCAGCTCCGAGGGAGAGCTGGAGAGGATGAGCTCTGAGGAATCCCTTGATGGGGATATTGTTCTGGGGGAGCCGAGGCCGGGAGTGGTGCCTGGGACTGAGCCTGGAGTGGTTCCCAAATCTATGCCTAGAGTGGTGTCTGGGTCTGGAGTGGTGTCTGGGTCTGAGTCTGGAGTGGTGTCTGGGTCTGGAGTGGTGTCTGGGTCTGGGGTGGTGTCTGGGTCTGGGTCTGGAGTGGTGTCTGGGTCTGGGTCTGGAGTGGTGTCTGGGTCTGGACTGGGAGTGGTGTCTGGGTCTGGACCGGGAGTGGGGCCTGGGACTGAGTTAAAACCGACTGAGTCTGGACCTTCTGGACCAACCCCAGCCATGGAGCCACCAGTGTCGCCCCTGGTCGTGGAAACCCCAATCGGGTCCATAAAGGACAGGGTGAGAGCTCTGCAAAAGAAGGTTGAGGAAGAGGAAGAGGGGGAGGATGGCCGTAAGCGAAAGCCTGCGCAGGCCCCAGTCCCTCAGACCACAACTTTCTTCACCATCACTAAGGAGACGGGTGAGTCCCAGATGCCAGATCTTCCCAAGCTTCCCAGATCTCCAAAATCCCCCCGGTCTCAGACAGAGAGGCTGGAGGAGACGATGTCAGTCCGGGAGCTGATGAAGGCATTCCAGACTGGCCAGGATCCTTCCAAGAACAAAACGGGGCTCTTCGAGCACAAAGCCATGACTTCATCCACAACCTCCACATCGGGCTCCGAGGCAGTGATCTACAGTGAGACCTACAGAGCTGAACCCAGTCCCACAGAGCATCCGCCATCAGAAACTCCAACTTCCACAATCCTCTACCCGCAGAGTGATGTCCTGCCCCTCGACAATAAAGGGGTGGATGATGAACCACACCTGATCTTAGTAAGGGACCACTCTGAAGACTCTGAGATAACTCATGTTACGGTTCAGTTGCAGGAGTCAGCGACTAACATCAACAGAATACAACCAGAGGACAGAGGGATCCCTCTAGACAGGGCTCTACCAAAGGATGGAGGGATCCTCCTAGACAGGGCTCTACCAGAGGATGGAGGGATCCTCCTAGACAGGGCTCTACCAGAGGATGGAGGGATCCTCCTAGACAGGGCTCTACCAGAGGATGGAGGGATCCTCCTAGACAGGGCTCTACCAGAAGACGGAAGGATCCTCCTATATAAGGCTCAACCAGAGGATGGAGGGATCCTCTTAGAGAGGGCTCAACCAGAGGATGGAGGGATCCTCGTAGACAGGGCTCTACCTGAGGACGGAGGGATCCTCCTATCCAGGGCTCAACCAGAGGATGGAGGGATCCTCTTAGACAGAACTCTACCAGAGGATGGAGGGATCCTCCTAGACAGGGCTCTACCAGAGGATGGAGGGATCCTCTTAGACAGGGCTCTACCAGAGGATGGAGGGATCCTCTTAGACAGGGCTCTACCAGAGAATGAAGGGATCCTCGTAGACAGGGCTCTACCAGAGGATGGAGGGATCCTCCTAGACAGGGCTCTACCAGAGAAAGGAGGGATCCTCCTCGACAGGGTTCTACCAGAGGATGGAGGGATCCTCCTAGATAGGGCTCTACCAGATGATGGAGGGAGCAGCCCAGAGATGATGCAGCTGGAGGAACCAGAGATGGGACCAGACAGGATGCCTTCTATAGAGATTATGCAGCTGGAGGAATCAGAGGTGGGACCAGACAGGAGGCCTTCTATAGAGAGGATGAAGCTGGAGGAACCAGAGATGGGACCAGACAGGAGGCCTTCTATAGAGATGCAGATCAGCCCGGACAGGAAACCCTCTGAGGACTTCAGCTCTGACATCAAGGCCGAGCTGGAGGACAGTCCAGAGTACCAGCTGTTCAGACAGACCTCGTCCACTGGGGACGACAACCACCCCCAGGCTGAAGCAGCCAAGGAGGAACTCCCAGCAGACCACCCCAACGACAATCCAACCTTCATGTTCAGCCACTCTATGAACGACGACGGGCGGGATGAGTTATTTACTAAGGCTGAGAACCTGGTGGGGGATGAAAGCCCTGTGAGTCTGAAGCACGAAGGAGCAGCGGACTCTCCCGGGACTAGCGTAGGAACCAGGACTACCCATTCAAGTACGGGGGAGAGTGAGAAACACGAAGGATTAGCAGACACCCCACAGATGAGCCCTCTCACATTCCCCACTCAGGAGATAGACATGCCCACAGCTGATAAAGAGACAGAAATAATGGATGGGAAGAAGGTACTAGGAGATGTGATTCATGGATGAAGAAATCTTTCCAGAAACTGATGCTTTAGGCGTAGAAACCAAGGCAGTGACTCCGTCCCCTGTTCAGGAACCGCTGTTACAAGAAGTAATGATCCAACGGAAGACCTCCCCCAGACCAGTTACAGTGGTCAGAGATATGTCAGGCATGGAGTCACTCCTCAGTGGAGATATTGATCACTACCTAGAACAGAGACCATCACCTGTCCGTAGCGCTGAAGTGATGACAGTTCAGGAACCGATGTTACAAGAAGTCATGATCGAAAGGAAGGCATCCCCCAGACCGGTCGTAGGAGTTAGAGATATGTCAGGCATGGAGTCACTCCTCAGTGGAGGTATTGATCACTACCTAGAACAGAGACCATCACCTGTCCGTAGCGCTGAAGTTATGACAGTTCAGGAACCGATGTTACAAGAAGTCATGATCGAAAGGAAGACATCCCCCAGACCGGTCGTAGGAGTTAGAGATATGTCAGGGATGGAGTCACTCCTCCGTGGAGGTATTGATCACTACCTAGAACAGAGATCTATGGTAATCAGTGGTTCACCACAGGATGACATCGTCCAACAACAGAATTTCAAACAGGTCATCCTGACCAGGGACGACAAGCAACAATCACTAATGTTCTCCACTAAGGAGGTAGACGTGTCTACAGAAGATACAGAGGCAGAAACAGAAGACTGGTGGAAAGTGGAAGACATGGATGATGGTGGCGCTCGTGGTGCCGAAGCGATAATCTTGAACCCAGTTCAGGAACCGATGTTACAAGAAGTCTTGATCGAAAGGAAGACATCCCCCAGACCGGTCGTAGGAGTTAGAGATATGTCAGGCATGGAGTCACTCCTCAGTGGAGATTTAGAACAGTACCTAGAGAGACCTGTAGATGTCAGTGGTGCGCCGGAGGACGACGTCGTACAAGAGAGATTTGAACAGGTCGTGATTACACGGGAGAGGAAAAGGGAAGCACACGCGTTCTCCACTGAGCAGGTAGACCGGTCCGCAGTACATGAAGTGACAGAACAAGATGTGGTGAATGTAGTGCAAGCAGGAGCCATGGAGGATGATGCCGTCTGTGGTGATAAAGACTTAATGCGTAGTTGTTCAGCTGGGGAAGCATCAGAAAGTTCAGCTACTACAGTGACACGTTCAAGAGACTCAAAGAAGGTGACCTTTGACCTTCAAAGGGCGTTTGATTCAGTGCTCCCCACTCAAGCCTCCGAAGAGGACGACCGGGTCCCTGTTGGGACAAGATCCATCTTAGAGGACTGGGATTCCTTAGAGATAAAACCATCGTACCACAAAACTACAGATCTGTCATACTCAAACCTAAACATGCAAGACCCGATTTCAGCAGACAGAATTACTCCTGAATCTAGTTGGGTCGCACCAGAGCTCCATGAAAGGAGTTCAGCTGATCAGGAAGTGGTGCACAGCCCAGACAGTTTTGGTCAAGCCCTCAGACCTGCAGACTTAGATGTCCTCTGTCCTTTGGGCCTGGGACACCCAGAGAGACGACTTTCCCATGAGGATTCTCTGGAGAGCAGTCCTGTCATGGAGGAAGGTTCCTCCAGGAAGTCCCCTGACTCTATAGAGCCAAGCCCAACCGGGGACTCCCCCTGCCCTGACTCACTGGAGAGCAGCCCCTCTGAACCGAAACGAGACACAGGCTTTCAGGCGACAAAGAAGACAGCTGTGTATGAAGACTACTACTCTCAGCTTAGAGCCTGTCTCGGTGAGGAACACGTTAGCAACATGGAGAATGAGGATTACTCCAAACGGACCTATCAAATGGAAGGTGAGCGTGAGGGACCCCTCCCATTGAAGAGGGATGAGGAGGTGAGTTTTGACCCCAAAAACCCAGACCCTGAGTGCCTCTCCATGCCCTTAAATGTGAGCTCACACCCTGAGGATGATGTGGAAGACGTGGATGCAGAGGGCAGCGAGACCAGCCAGAGACAGTTCACCCCAGAGGAGGAAATGTTCAAAATGGCCGCCAAGATCAAAACCTTCGAGGAGATGGAGCAGGACTCCAAAACGAAGACAGACAGGAAACCCTCAGACGGCTCTGTGTTATCAGACCCTGAGGATTATGAAGAATGTCGGTCGATCGTTGACCTGATGGGAAGGGAGGAGAAATCAACTAGGCCCAAAACCGACGCCGATTCGCTTCAGTCTGACATTGAAACTGTGGCTGAAATCCAACCCTCAGCCCCTGGTGCAGTAACTGAGTTGGATATTTCAGTTCACTGTGAAGCTCACCTACCGTACAGTGCCTCAGGACATTCACCATCAGGAAGACAGGTCTCTGAGCACCTCGACTATCGTTCACTAAGCACTGAAAAAGAACAATGTACCACAGAGAATATCAGTGAGAATATCAGTGAACATACTGAGCAGGAAGATGAGATAGATGTAATGTCAGCTGTTCAAGCACCCGATGAGGAGATGGGTCAGTCAGTCAAACCAGAGGTGTTATGCACTGACGATGAAAACTTAAAGGAGGCGGAGGAGGATGTGGATGGTAAGGCAGCCATGTTGGACATGCATCATGAAGACATGCCTGTTCAGGGAGAGCTGGTCCCATGGAGTGCCATGCCAGACGACAACGACGACGATGACGATGAAGCCTTCGACGCGCGTGTGGAGGCGGAGGAACAAAGGATTATGGGTCTCGTGGAAGACTGCCCTACCCCTGACACCACACCGGGTCGCACACCAAGCGAGGGGGGCACCCCCAACCCCTTCCAGTTCCAGGAAGGGAAGTTCTTTGAGATGACCAGAGGGGGCGCAATCGACATGACAAGGAGGAGCTTTGAAGAGGAGGGCGAGGGCTATGCCTTCTTCCACATAGGAGAACACCCAGTTGACCAGGTCCTGTTCGAGGACGCTGGAGATTACGCTGGCCCCGATGTTCTCATAACAGAACAGGGTATTGCCGTTGCTGATCTACACCTCCAGGAGGATGAGGATCAAACCAAAGATGATTCTGACTCCTCCTTCCAGACTATACCATTAGCCGAGGCTGGTCAGAGGGGGAAACCAGTGGCCAAACCCAGGACCTTCATCAAAATGGAGCCAAAAGCTGAAACAGTCCCCCTGCTGGAAGCTAAGATGGAAAGCTCCTTAGAGGTCCAGATAGGTTCTCTAGACCCGACTATAGCTGACCTCCAGATGTCCACCACCACTACTACTGTCGCCCGCTGTGTGTACTCTGAGCAGGTCCGCCAGTCATCCGACTCATCCCTTGAGGATGAAGAAGTGGAAGAGGAACAGCGCTCTGTCATTGAGATGCCCGCTGCGTATTATGACTCAGTGGTGCCCCCTAGTGTCCTGGCAGGGTCTGACACCTCAGCTGCGGCTGACACCTCAGTGGTGCCCCCTAGTGTCCTGGCAGGGTCTGACATCTCAGCTGCGGCTGACACCTCAGTGGTGCCCCCTAGTGTCCTGGCAGGGTCTGACACCTCTAATGTCCTGGAAGGGTCTGACATCTCAGTGGCACCCCCTAGTGTCCTTGCAGGGTTTTACACCTCAGCAGATGCTGTGGCTAAGGATGAAAGCAGTTTCAAATCAAAGATACCCGTCAAAGCTGGCTCAGTAAAATCAGACCTGGGGCTTGAGCAGAAATCAACAGTGGAGAAATCTCTTGATCATGACCGGAGGACGAGGTCCGAGGAGGATTTTGGAGCCGGGAAGAAAATCTTAACTGACAAAGACAACAGGAGTCACTCCGACAGCGACCATCCTACAACTAAATCCAAACCTCTCACCTCCAGACTCCCTGTCATGGGCAAACACAAACCCACAGCCCACTCCTCCTCCTCTTCCCAGCCCGACAGAGACCAGGGCTCTGACATACGAGAGCTTTCCCTCCGATCATCTCTGGATGTCGACGACATCAGTAGCAGCGGTGATCACAACAGTCCAGATTCTGTTATCTTCAAGTATGACAGCCCAACGCCTCGCAGTTCTGCCCCAGACACGAGGGCTTTGCCGACTCAGACACGGATTCGACCTTCCTCGGTGACGGGGGAGGTGTTTGAGTCGAGACCCATCTGGGAAGACTCAGTGGAGACTCAGATGCAGCGAATCTCGGGTGATCGGACCCCGGAGCGGCAGCAAGGTACCAAAACTCTGGGTCTGTGACTTCCTTTCCTCTCTATCTTTCTCTGCTCCTTGGAAGCAAGACCTTTCTTTGTCTTATTCAAGACCAATCATTAGTCACTTTTCTGTTGTGTGTCTTGTGTTGTCATTTCGTGCCGTGCTGTGTTGTCTTTTATTCCCGTGCTGTGTTGTCTTGTCCCGTGCTGTGTTGTCTTGTCCCATGCTGTGTTGTCTTGTCCCGTGCTGTGTTGTCTTGTCCCGTGCTGTGTTGTCTTGTCCTGTGCTGTGTTGTCTTGTCCTGTGCTGTGTTGTCTTGTCCCGCGCTGTGTTGTCTTGTCCCGTGCTGTGTTGTCTTGTCCTGTGCTGTGTTGTCTTGTCCCGTGCTGTGTTGTCTTGTCCCGTGCTGTGTTGTCTTGTCCCGTGCTGTGTTGTCTTGTCCCGTGCCGTGTTGTCTTGTCCCGTGCTGTGTTGTCTTGTCCCGTGCTGTGTTGTCTTTTATTCCCGTGCTGTGTTGTCTTGTCCCGTGCTGTGTTGTCTTGTCCCGTGCCGTGTTGTCTTGTCCCGTGCTGTGTTGTCTTGTCCCGTGCTGTGTTGTCTTTTATTCCCGTGCTGTGTTGTCTTGTGTTGTTTCTTTTCCATATAAATGTCTAGTGTCTATTGACTATTGACTATTGACTATTGTCTGTCTATTGACTATTGTCTATTGTCTATTGACTGTCTATTGACTATTGTCTATTGACTATTGTCTATTGTCTATTGACTATTGTCTATTGTCTATTGTCTATTGACTATAGTCTATTGACTATTGACTATAGTCTATTGACTATTGTCTATAGTCTATTGACTATTGTCTATTGACTATTGACTATAGTCTATTGACTATTGTCTATAGTCTATTGACTATTGTCTATTGTCTATTGTCTATTGACTATAGTCTATTGACTATTGACTATAGTCTATTGTCTATTGTCTATTGACTATTGTCTATTGTCTATTGTCTATTGACTATAGTCTATTGACTATTGTCTAGTGTCTATTGTCTATGTATGTGTACATTAAATCTCAAGATTGACTGGCTTAGATGTGTTTAGGAGAAAGCTCTTGAATGCCCATCATGATTAACTTCAGGACATCTAATAGACGGATACTTTACTGAAACCCCTTATACTAATCACCACACTGAGTTTGGAATGACACATTCTTTCCATTTCCTTAAGTACTAATCGACCACAAATACACTTTCACGGTGTCCAAGTAGAGCAGGTAATGGATCACAACACCAGCCATAATTCATCCAGCGTCTGCACCATTAACTCCACAGCCTATAACATAGAGGCCAGTTACATTACATTAGTTGAAATGTATCTGTACCTTCGAGACCTAGAAAACATCCCGCAATTAACACGATCTCTAGAGAGTTTCAAACTGTTGTATTTTCATAGAAGTTATGGCCTGCGTCCCAATTGGTACCCTATTCCCTATAGGGGCTCTGGTCTAAAATTAGTGCACTACAAAGGGAATAGGGTACTATTTGGGACGAGGACCCATAATGTTGTTACTGTGCTGCTGTTGAGCCTGTGATGACCTGTGTGTGTAAACGTCCGGCTGCGGTGGTGTTTGCAGTGGATTGGCACGACGATGCAGACAGGAAAGAGGAGACGTTGGCCATCATTGCAGACCTGCTGGGGTTCAGCTGGACAGGTAAGTTATCCAGGTTGGTGTCGCAGGTGTAGAAGGTGTGTGTATGAAATAGGAGTGAAAAGCTGTGGACCCTGGTCAAATAGTACTCCCCTATGTCGGGAATATGATTGCCTACCTCAGTGTCCTCCCCCCCCCACCATGTGTCTCAGAGCTGGCGAGGGAGCTGGAGTTCAACGAGGACGAGATCCAGGAGGTGAGGATAGAGAAGCCTAACTCCCTGCAGGAGCAGAGCCAGGCCCTGCTGCAACGCTGGGCTGAGAGAGAGGGAAAACACGCCACCGGTACGTCATCTGTTCTACTGGGCCTCACTGAACTGGGCCTGTGTCCCAGATGGAAACCCTATTCCCTATATAGTGCACTGCTCTGGTCAAAAGTAGTGCACTATGTAGGGAATAGGGTGCCATTTGGGACACTCGGCTGTGGACTCATCCATGGATACCATTCATCTATTTATGAGTGATAAATATATGTCTTCTTAAATTGATTGTCTTTTTTTTGTTGCTTTAAAGCGAGATTATTTTGTTTAATAGAAGTGAAATAAATAATATAGATTTATTATTATTATTATTATTATTATTAATGAACTAATAATATGTCTACCTTCTGTCCGGCAGAGGACAGCCTGATAAAGAGGCTGACGAAGATCAACCGGATGGACATCGTCCACCTGATAGAGACCCAGATGAACAAGTCAGCACAGGAGCAGACCTCCAGGACCTACGCAGAGATAGAGAAAACTCTGGACCAAAGTGAAGGTACTGGACCGGATGCAGTTACATTACATTACATTACATTACATTACAGAGATAGAGAATACTCTGGACCAAAGCGAAGGTACCGGACCGGACGTAGTTACATTACATTACATTACAGAGATAGAGAATACTCTGGACCAAAGTCAATGTACCGGACCGGACGCAGTTACATTACATTACATTACAGAGATAGAGAATACCCTGAATTATTTCTACATGGCTGAACAAACTGTCTCCCTGTCCACGAATGGTCCTGTAGAATTCTATAGCTGGCTGTCCACTCAGTAGGGCTGAATTTCAGCCTCAGCTGAGCTCCTTTAAAGCAGAGATTTCCCTAATTGTCGCCATTTGTTTGCCGTGCACCCTTGATAAAAATAGCTTTTTTTTTTAGATCAGCTGTTTAGAACGCTCATTGCTTTGTTTTCCAGGTGCTTGTGGGTAATGGTGTTCTCTGTAACCATTCAGAGGCTCATTGCTTTGTTTTCCAGGTGCTTGTGGGTAATGGTGTTCTCTGTAACCATTCATAGGCTCATTGCTTTGTTTTCCAGGTGCTTGCGGGTCCTGGTGTTCTCCGTACCATTCATAGGCTCATTGCTTTGTTTTCCAGGTGCTTGTGGGTAATGGTGTTCTCCATTCATAGCCAGAAGTAGGGGACCATTTATTTAGCTTTATTTTATATCAATATTTGTTTTCTTTCTCCTGGATCAGCTGATGATGGTCAACAATATCACCAGACAACTAACCTACTGCTAGACACCAATATCACCAGACAACTAACCTACTGCTAGACACCAATATCACTAGACAACTAACCTACTGCTAGACACCAATATCACTAGACAACTAACCTACTGCTAGACACAATCACCAGACAATAACCTACTGCTCGCACCACTCTCACTAGACAACTAACCTACTGCTAGACACCAATATCACTCAACAACTAACCTACTGCTAGACACCAATATCACTAGACAACTAACCTACTGCTAGACACCAATATCACTAGACAACTAACCTACTGCTAGACACCAATATCACTAGACAACTAACCTACTGCTAGACACCAATATCACTAGACAACTAACCTACTGCTAGACACCAATATCACTAGACAACTAACCTACTGCTATGACACCAATATCACTAGACAACTAAACCTACTGCTAGACACCAATATCACTAGACAACTAACCTACTGCTAGACACCAATATCACTAGACAACTAACCTACTGCTAGACACCAATATCACTAGACAACTAACCTACTGCTAGACACCAATATCACTAGACAACTAACCTACTGCTAGACACCAATATCACTAGACAACTAACCTACTGCTAGACACCAATATCACTAGACAACTAACCTACTGCTAGACACCAATATCACTAGACAACTTAACCTACTGCTAGACACCAATGTGCATCCAATCCATCCAACAAGTATACTGTATTTTAATGACAGTAAGCCTGTAGTTGACTCTTTGGGTTTAGAAGCATTACCTTTTGCAATGGTATAGGCCTATATTATTTTGGCTTTGTGTGCCACAGAATAACTGTTTTCACGGAGAAACATAATGAAATGTTACCTAGACATACTTACACTTACAGTGGTCTGAGATCTCCAACATCCAGGATTCCTACAGGGGTTAAAGTTCAATGTTCTAATTCAATTATTTACGTTCTTAATAGTGACAAATAACACTGTCATAAATGTAATTAATGGTTGGACAAAAGGTAGTCACACGATCTGTGGAGACTCCAAGGATTAACTCATGAATTATGGACAAGTTATGAACTAGGGTGTAAAACATGTTTTGATTCGACTCATGTATTATATTGAATGTAGGCCACCTATTCTGCGTGGGTTCGTGTTTAAAATTGCCTTTGCCGAGGGTAGGCTACCAGCAGTGGTGTAGTCCTAGTAGAGGGTAGGATACTGGCAGTGGTGTAGTCCTAGTAGAGGGTAGGATACTGGCAGTGGTGTAGTCCTAGTAGAGGGTAGGATACTGGCAGTGGTGTAGTCCTAGTAGAGGGTAGGATACCAGCAGTGGTGTAGTCCTAGTAGAGGGTAGGATACCAGCAGTGGTGTAGTCCTAGTAGAGGGTAGGATACCAGCAGTGGTGTAGTCCTAGTAGAGGGTAGGATACTGGCAGTGGTGTAGTCCTAGTAGAGGGTAGGATACCAGCAGTGGTGTAGTCCTAGTAGAGGGTAGGATACCAGCAGTGGTGTAGTCCTAGTAGAGGGTAGGATACTGGCAGTGGTGTAGTCCTAGTAGAGGGTAGGATACTGGCAGTGGTGTAGTCCTAGTAGAGGGTAAGATACTGGCAGTGGTGTAGTCCTAGTAGAGGGTAGGATACTGGCAGTGGTGTAGTCCTAGTAGAGGGTAGGATACCAGCAGTGGTGTAGTCCTAGTAGAGGGTAGGATACCGGCAGTGGTGTAGTCCTAGTGGAGGGTAGGATACTGGCAGTGGTGTAGTCCTAGTAGAGGGTAGGATACTGGCAGTGGTGTAGTCCTAGTAGAGGGTAGGATACCAGCAGTGGTGTAGTCTGTATGTCCTGGACAACATCACGTTCCATGAGGTGAGGTTACAGTCCGTCTTCGTTTTGATCATTTGTTTTCCCAGTTCAAATGGAGCAATTTGGAGCATATAAAACAAACAAAAAATATATACAGTATATATTTTCGGTTTTCTCATGTGGGTGGGGTTAAATGTGGAATGCTTGTCATTGGTTAAGTGCACAGCCAATACCTTGCTTTCAAAGTAAGAGTTCACCCTTCTAACTTCATTCTATGAATCTATGATCTATTAATTAATTGATTAATAGCTGACCATACCGTGCCACTGTGCCAAGATAAAGTACGATTTCTGCATAAGATTCGGTGTGTATTGACTTATTAATGAACTGCTCTTCCTGTAAATGGTTAGCTGACTGATGTATCCTAGCTACCTAGCTAACCATTGGTCATCTTATTAAACGATGCTATACTGTCACGTTCGTTTAAAGAAGGGTCGGACCAAGGCGCAGCGTGATATGCGTACGTGTTTATTTAATGATAAACACTCGACAAAACACAACAAAGGAAACGAAACGTGAAGTCCAAAGGTACAACACAACAAACCTAAACACGGAACAAGAACCCACAACTAGACAGTGCCAAAAGACTGCCTAAGTAATGATTCCCAATCAGAGACAACGAGCGACAGCTGCCTCTGATTGGGAACCACACACGGCCAAACATAGAAATACAAAACCTAGAATATTCACACCCTGACCAAACTAGCTAGAGTTCTGTAGGCCAGGGCGTGACATATACTGTGTTACTGTAAATGGTCAGCTGACTGATGTATCCTAGCTACCGAGCTAACCATTGGTCATCTTATTAAACGAAGCCATACAGCCAAAACAACAGTATCTATGGCTAGACTAGAGACATTCCCTTAGCTGTAGTTAGTCAGTGGTTGCACGTCTAACTAGCTGGAATGAAGCCAGGGTGGGAATAGCAGACGTGTAAATATTATCCTTTCACTGATTACAGCAGGTCTCCTGCTACCCAGACCTGCCTGGTCAGCCTGATAAGGTGCCCTGGGTGTGGTCTCCTGCTACCCAGACCTGCCTGGTCAGCCTGATAAGGTGCCCTGGGTGTGGTCTCCTGCTACCCAGACCTGCCTGGTCAGCCTGATAAGGTGCCCTGGGTGTGGTCTCCAGCTACCCAGACCTGCCTGGTCAGCCTGATAAGGTGCCCTGGGTGTGGTCTCTAGCTACCCAGACCTGCCTGGTCAGCCTGATAAGGTGCCCTGGGTGTGGTCTCCAGCTACCCAGACCTGCCCTGGTCAGCCTGATAAGGTGCCCTGGGTGTGGTCTCCTGCTACCCAGACCTGCCTGGTCAGCCTGATAAGGTGCCGTGGGTGTGGTCTCCTGCTACCCAGACCTGCCTGGTCAGCCTGATAAGGTGCCGTGGGTGTGTCCAGCTTTACACCTGTGCAAATCCTGTGTGTTTGTATAGCAATGGCACGAAACAATTCAACCAATGGCCTCGAGTCGTGTTGCAGGTCCACCACACACCCGGAGGGTCCTGTCCAGAAGCAACCCCTATCCCCTACCTCTGGACATGTGTGGAGATCTGAGAGGATTGGACGAGGTGTAAGCAATACCACCAACAAAATGTCCACCAAGAGGGTAAGGTGGATCTCTCACCATGTCACCACCCATCAATCCCTCTCAGATCTCCAGAGGGTAAGGTGGATCTCTCACCATGTCACCACCCATCAATCCCTCTCAGATCTCCAGAGGGTAAGGTGGATCTCTCACCATGTCACCACCCATCAATCCCTCTCAGATCTCCAGAGGGTAAGGTGGATCTCTCACCATGTCACCACCCATCAATCCCTCTCAGATCTCCAGGAGGGTAAGGTGGATCTCTCACCATGTCACCAACCCATCAATCCCTCTCAGATCTCCAGAGGGTAAGGTGGATCTCTCACCATGTCACCACCCATCAATCCCTCTCAGTCTCCAGAGGGTAAGGTGGATCTTCACCATGTCACCACCCGTCCAAATCCTCTCAGATCTCCAGAGGGTAAGGTGGATCTTCTCACCATGTCACCACCCATCAATCCCTCTCAGATCTCCAGAGGGTAAGGTGGATCTCTCAACATGTCACCACCCATCAATCCCTCTCAGATCTCCAGAGGGTAGGTGGATCTGTCAACATGTCCCCACCCATCAATCCTCTCAGATCTCCAGAGGGTAAGGTGGATCTCTCAACATGTCACCACCCATCAATCCCTCTCAGATCTCCAGAGGGTAAGGTGGATCTCTCAACATGTCACCACCCATCAATCCCTCTCAGATCTCCAGAGGGTAAGGTGGATCTCTCACCATGTCACCACCCATCAATCCCTCTCAGATCTCCAGAGGGTAAGGTGGATCTCTCAACATTGTCACCCACCCATCAATCCCTCTCAGATCTCCAGAGGGGTAAGGTGGATCTCTCACCATGTCACCACCCATCAATCCCTCTCAGATCTCCAGAGGGTAAAGTGGATCTCTCCACCATGTCAACCACCCATCAATCCCTCTCAGATCTCCAGAGGGTAAGGTGGATCTCTCAACATGTCACCACCCATCAATCCCTCTCAGATCTCCACAAGTGTCTAGACACTGTAGGGGCTAGAGGTTGTTCCTGGACGGGCCAGGGGTATTATGGGTATTATGGGTATTATGGGTATTATGGGTATTATGGGTATTATGGGTATTATGGGTATTATGGGTATTATGGGTATTATGGGTATTATGGGTATTATGGGTATTATGGGTATTATGGGTATTATGGGTATTATGGGTATTATGGGTATTATGGGTATTATGGTAGCTCAGTCAGTCAGTCAGTCAGTCTGGCACTGTCTAAAAATGTTAGGACCCGGGACGATATCAGTATTGCGATATTTTTTTTTTCCATGGCAAAAAATGAAAACACGAAGCAGACCGAACTCTTTGGTTCTTTAAAAACCTGCTGTATGTAAAACATTGTGTTCTATAGCTTGGGAAATAAATAAATGTGACTCTGTATGACAACATAATGATGTTTGTTTTCAACATTAGGGCTGTTTTCCTAAAGAAGTTTAATCAGCTTAGTGTTTTGTTTCTTTGCCGCGATGCTAACGGGTATCGCGAACTGGTATTGTCCCCGGCCCTGCTATGAGGTTGAAATAACACTCTGAAATGGTGAAAATGATGACAATGCCCTTTTTCTGTAAGAGCTGTTTGAAAAGAAGCCTCTCTCTCTCTCTACCTCTCTCTCTCTCCCTCTCTCTCTCTCACTTTCTCTTTCTCGCTCTCTCTCTCTTTCTCTCTCTCTCTCTCTCTCACTTTCTCTTTCTCTCTCTTTCTTTATCACTCTTTCTCTCTCTCTCTATTTGTGTTTCTCTCTTTCTGTCAATTCAATTTCAATTTAAGGGCTGTACATAGATTTCCTTAAGTTTGGGTCAGTCACAGTGGTCAGGTATTCTGTGTACTCTCTGTTTAGGGCCAAATAGCATTCTAGTTTGCTCAGTTTTTTTGTTAATTCTTTCCAATGTGTCAAGTAATTCTCTTTTTGTTTTCTCGTGATTTGGTTGGGTCTAATTGTGTTGCTGTTGCTGTCCAGGGGCTATGTGGGGTCTGTTTGTGTTTGTGAACAGAGCCCCAGGACCAGCTTACTTAGGGGACTCTTCTCCAAGTTCATTTCTCTGTAGGTGATGGGTTTGTTATGGAAGGTTTGGGAATCGCTTCCTTTCAGTTGGTTGTGTAGCTCAGTTGGTAGAGCATGGCGATTGCAACGCCAGGGTTGTGGGTTCGTTTCCCACGGGGGGCCAGTATGAAAAAAAAAAAATGAATGCACTCACTAACTGTAAGTCGCTCTGGATAAGAGCGTCTGCTAAATGACAAAACATTTTAATGTTGTAGAATTTAACGGCTCTTTTCTGGATTTTGATAATTAGCGGGTATCGGCCTAATTCTGTCTCTCTCTCTTTCTGTCTCTCTCTCTTTCTGTCTCTCTCTCTTTCTGTCTCTCTCTCTTTCCGTCTCTCTCTCTTTCTGTCTCTCTCTCTTTCTGTCTCTCTCTATTTCTGTCTCTCTCTCTTTCTGTCTCTCTTTCTGTCTCTCTCTCTTTCTGTCTCTCTCTCTTTCTGTCTCTCTCTCTTTCTGTCTCTCTCTCTTTCCGTCTCTCTCTCTTTCTGTCTCTCTCTCTTTCTGTCTCTCTCTTTTTCTGTCTCTCTCTCTTTCCGTCTCTCTCTTTCTGTCTCTCTCTCTCTGTCTCTGTGTGTCTCTGTCTGCCAGTGTCTGTAGCCCTGTCCTCAGTGCAGGAGGATGTATATAGCCCCAGACTGGTGAGGAGGGCGGACTCTTCCCCCAGACCACCCCCAGCCGTCTCAGAGGAGGACCTATCAGTAGCCTCCCTCCTGGACATTCCTTCCTGGGCGGAGCCTATGGGCCACACCCACTCAGAGAGCATGCACGGGCTATTGGAGGACCTGGAGATCACAACGTACGTCAATCAGAGAATGAGCCAATCAGCTTCAAGGATGGATGAGAATATTTTATATTTCATTTAACTGTTGGCTTTAGCAAGAGAGGAGAATTATGCTAAGTTTGAGACTAAGTAATTGGTAAATTGATAAAAGCATTATCAATCTACAGTTGAAGTCGGAAGTTTACATACACTTAGGTTGGAGTCATTAAAACTTGTTTTTCAACCACTCCACAAATGTATTGTTAACAAACTATAATTTTGGCAAGTCGGTTAGGACGTCTACTTTGTGCATGACACAAGGAATTTTTCCAACAATTGTTTACAGACAGATTATTTCACTTATAATTCACTGTATCACAATTCCAGCGGGTTGACTATGCCTTTAAACAGCTTGGAAATTTCCAGAAAATGATGTCATGGCTTTAGAAGCTTCTGATAGGCTAATTGACATCATTTGAGTCAATTGGAGGTATACCTGTGGATGTATTTCAAAGCATACCTTCAAACTCAGTGCCTCTTTGCTTGACATCATGGGAAAATCTAAAGAAATCAGCCAAGACCTCAGAAATGCCTGAAGGTACCACGTTCATCTGTACAAACAATAGTACGCAAGTATAAACACCATGGGACCACGCAGCCGTCATACCGCTCAGGAAGGAGACGCGTTCTGTCTCCTAGAGATGAACATACTTTGGTGCGAAAAGTGCAAATCAATCCCAGAACAACAGCAAAGGACCTTGTGAAGATGCTGGAGGAAACGGGTACAAAAGTATCTATATCCACAGTAAAACGAGTCCTGTATCGACATAACCTGAAAGGCCGCTCAGCAAGGAAGAAGCCACTGCTCCAAAACCGCCATAAAAAAGCCAGACTACGGTTTGCAACTGCACATGGGGACAAAGATCGTACTTTTTGGAGAAATGTCCTCTGGTCTGATGAAACAAAAATAGAACTGTTTGGCCATAATGACCATCGTTATGTTTGGAGGAAAAAGGGGTAGGCTTGCAAGCCGAAGAACACCATCCCAACCATGAAGCACGGTGGTGGCAGCATCATGCTGTGGGGGTACTTTGCTGCAGGAGGGACTGGTGCACTTCACAAAATAGATGGCATCATGAGGAAGGAAAATTATGTGGATATATTGAAGCAACATCTCAAGACATTAGTCAGGAAGTTAAAGCTTGGTCGCAAATGGGTCTTCCAAATGGACAATGACCCCAAGCATACTTCCAAAGTTGGCAAAATGGTTTAAGGACAACAAAGTCAAGGTATTGGAGTGGCCATCACAAAGCCCTGACCTCAATCCTATAGAAAATGTGTGGGCAGAACTGAAAAAGTGTGTGTGAGCAAGGAGGCCTACAAACCTGACTCAGTTACACCAGCTCTGTCAGGAGGAATGGGCCAAAATTCATCCAACTTATTGTGGGAAGCTTGTGGAAGACTACCCAAAACGTTTGACCCAAGTTAAACAATTAAAAGGCAATGCTACCAAATACTAATTGAGTGTATGTAAACTTCTGACCCACTGGGAATGTGATGAAAGAAATAAAAGCTGAAATCAATAATTCTCTCTACTATTATTCTGACATTTCACATTCTTAAAATAAAGTGGTGATCCTAACTGACCTAAGACAGGGAATTTCTACTAGGATCAAATGTCAGGAATTGTGAAAAACTGAAATAAAATGTATTTGGCTAAGGTGTATGTAAACTTCCGACTTCAACTGTATGTAATTCCAGTAGATCATCACAACTTTATATTGTCAATACATGATAGCTCCTCCAGATTAACATAATAATAATATATTATAATTATTATAATAATTGTTACTATCATTATATAGTCATATGTCTCTGTTTGAGGTGTGTGTCAGGGTTGAATAGAGAAGTAAGTACACATCTCTCAGAGAGAGAGAGAGAGAGAGAGAGAGAGAGAGAGAGAGAGAGAGAGAGAGAGAGAGAACACAATAACCCAGTGTTGTGTCATTCATGTTTCAGGGAGCCGAGCGCCAACCCGTGGACTTCGGAGGACTTCGCCATAACAAGGGAGTCCGCCGCCACAGAGCAAGTAAGTCCCCCTCTGAACGTGATTGGAGCAGAAACGTGGAGACTAGCGTCTCAGGCGTACGGCCCCCAGTGTGAAACCAGAGACCAGACTCAGGGCCAGCGTAGCAGAAGTAGCAGTGGCCTGCTCCACCCTCAAGTGGGTGCCACTGGGCCTCTGCCAGCTGGTGTTGACCATATGTCCCCGCCGGGACGAGGCGAGCTGTCGCCGGAACAGCTCAGGATATCGTCGCCCATAGTGATCAGAGACTTTGGTCTGAGTCTGTCAGAGTCCGAGCAGGCAGAGACAGACTTCAGAGAGCTCTGTGTTGGGTTTAGGGAGATGCCACTGGACAGGGCCTATGTCTCCTCCACCTCCTCCTCCACCTCCTCCATCACCCTGAACCCTAAAACCAAAGCCAGGTTGTCCAGAGAGGCCAGCACGGAAATATACGACCACAGTCATTTAGTTGAGAACCGTAGCCAGGCTTGTACGCCTCAGGACTGTAGCCGGAAAGGTCCGGAAAGTGTGGCCGTGGCTGAGGAGGCTGACCAGAGAACAGTCATCTCTGAAAAGCACATAGAAGAGATAACAGCTCGTTTCTACCAGGCCATGTACGGCTCAGACCAAGTCCTGCAGGTCTCAAGCACTGAGATGGTCCCCAAGCCCCACAGGTCCGAAGACCAGCCAGAGAAACGCCTGGAGCTGGCAGCTCTCAGAAAGAACCAATCACAGATGGAGGCACAGCTTCCGTTTATTGACGAGCCAGGAGAAGGCTGTGCCATGGCTCACTACAGCATGGTAGAGCAAACCAACGTCCGAAAGGGCATTGTTCGGCCGAAGCAAAGTCCGGCAACCAGCGAGTCCACTCCGATGACATGTGACTCACCTGACAGGCAGCCTAGCTTCATCACTGTCCGACCAGAACCCGACCACGTCATGTTCATGCAAGTTACCCCCCAGTCCCCTGGCCAAGACACAACACTGTATTCACATCTCACTAACTACAGACCTCTGACTCCTGATTCAGAGATGGAGTCCCTGTCACCTGACTCTCTACGGGGTCTCTCGCCCATGGAAGAAGGGTTCATTAACGTAACTAGACTATCATCACCTGAGTCCGTAATGTCCGTTGGCGCCTACAGGGCGATTTCGCCCGACTCCCCTCTCCGCGAGCGCAGGGTAATGTCTCCAGATTCTGCCAGGGCATTCCGTGAAAGCAGGCCTCTCTCTCCCGGGTCGGATGGGTCTAGATTTTCATCCGAGGTTAAAGCTTACATTATAGAGATCAGAGAACCCTCATATTCTCCTTCGGAAATATACGAGGGTAAAAAGGATTCCTGTGATTCAGAGGCAGCAGATAGCGCTCTTAGTTCCCTCTCTCCTTACCACACCGATAGCATCTGGAGTCCCCTCTCTCCTTACCATTCAGACAGTGTTCTGACTTCCCTATCCCCTGTGTCCTCTGAGGTGTTTTCTGATGAAGTACGGTCCCCGTCACCAGAGTCGTATGAATTGTTGACCGAGAGCAGCACCCTGTCCCTTGACTCCCCAGTACCTGAGTATGACACACCTGTACCTCAGACACCTGAGACACCTGTACCTGAGACTGATAGGATCATGATCCTAGGAGACTATAGGTCACGGTCACCTGGTCAACTGTCGTGGTCAGCTGTGACATCAGAGATCGACTATGCAGAGTATTGGCTAGCAGATCTGTTGTTCACTGACGGGAGAGCATCCTCCCCAGAGTCTGTTACTTCGTCGGATGAGTACAGGCCTCTCTCTCCTGACTCTCCAGTTCCTCACTTCATGCCTCATTGTTGTGATTATTTGGCTTTCACTGGAAGTAGATGTTCATCACCTGAATCAGTATCTTCAGGTATTGAATTCTCTGAGTTCTATCTTGAGGAACTGTTTGCTGAAGAAAGAGCAGATTCACCTGAATCATTTATATCAGAGAGTGAAATTGTTGAGTCAGTTGAAGGAGGTCTAATGAAATTCAGACCCTTGTCACCAGAATCAATAACTTCAGAAGATGATTATACCTTCCTTGAGCTCTTGTTTGCAGAGTCTAGACCATCTTCACCTCATTCTATCACTTCAACTGACGAATATCGATCTCTATCCCCTGATTCCCCAATCCCACAATTTAGACCCACAATAATTGAGTTGTCAATGTCATTCCTTAGCAGATCTCCGTCACCTATTTCAGTAACTTCAGACATTGAAGGATCTGGCTTCTATCTTGAGGAATTATTCAATGAAGAGAGACCAGATTCACCTGAATCATTTATATCAGAGAGTGAATTTGTTGAGTCAGTTGAGAAAGGTGTCATGAAACTCAAAACCTTGTCACCAGAATCAGTAACTTCAGAAGATGATTATTCCTTCCTTGAGCTCTTGTTATCAGAGTCTAGACCATCCTCTCCAGAGTCTGTTGCATCATTTGATGAGTACAGGCCTCTCTCTCCTGACTCTCCAGTTCCTCACTTCATGCCTCATGTTGCGATTATTATTTGGCTTTCACTGGAAGTAGATCCTCATCACCAGAATCAGTCACCTCAGACGTTGAATTTTCTGGATTTAGCCTTGAGGAATTGTTTGCTGATTACAGAGCAGATTCTCCTAAATCGATATATTCAGACAATGAATTTCTGGATCAATTGGAAGCAGGACTTGTTCCACTCTTGCTTGAAACAGCTTCTCCAGTTTCTGATCCTCTCCTTCACTCTACTCAATCTGAAACATCTGTTAACGAATTAATCTCACCTGCCTTAGTCCAGTCTGAATCTGAGCACCGAGACACCAAACCAGAGATATTAGTATCTACCACAACTATGGCAAAAGAAGGCTCTGTTGAGGCTCAAACCACATTGCCAGTTGCAGCTAAGAAAGCATTTATACAGCTTGACTTGAGTGATGAGAAGTTTTGGTCGTTATTACCAGTCACTGTACTGATGCCAGTAAAGCAGGAGCCAGCTAATTCTCTTGATGAGGTAGAGGAAGACAATTTGAAACACCAAGATATATCTGAAGTCAAACCTTTATCTCCTGAGTCAGTCTTTTCAGACAGTGTTTCACAATTCAGACCTGGTCATTGTAATTATTATTTGTTATACAGTGGGAGCATTTCTCCGATACCTGAATCTGTAACAACATTTGATGATCATAGGCCTCTTTCTCCTGACTCACCTGCTTCACAATTCAGACCTGGACATTGTGATTATTATTTGGTGTACAATGTGAGTAGTTCTGTGTCACCTCAGTCTGTAACTTCAGACATTGAATATCATGGTTTGTACAGACCAGGTTCCCCGTCAGATAGTGAATTGATAGTGACAGTTCAAAGTAGCGTATCTGAGCATAGACCACTCTCACCAGAATCAATAACTTCAGAAGATGATTATTCCTTCCTTGAGCTCTTGTTGTCAGAGACTAGACCATCCTCTCCAGAGTCTGTTGCATCATTTGATGATTACAGGCCTCTCTCTCCAGACTCTCCAGTTCCTCACTTCATGCCTCAATGTTGTGATTATTTGGCTTTCACTGGAAGTAGATGTTCATCACCTGAATCAGTATCTTCAGGTATTGAATTCTCTGAGTTCTGTCTTGAGGAACTGTTTGCTGAAGAAAGAGCAGATTCACCTGAATCAATTATATCAGAGAGTGAAATTGTTGAGTCAGTTGAAGGAGGTCTAATGAAATTCAGACCCTTGTCACCAGAATCAATAACTTCAGAAGATGATTATACCTTCCTTGAGCTCTTGTTTGCAGAGTCTAGACCATCTTCACCTCATTCTATCACTTCAACTGACGAATATCGATCTCTATCTCCTGATTCCCCAATCCCACAATTTAGACCCACAATAATTGAGTTGTCAATGTCATTCCTTAGCAGATCTCCGTCACCTATTTCAGTAACTTCAGACATTGAAGGATCTGGCTTCTATCTTGAGGAATTATTCAATGAAGAGAGACCAGATTCACCTGAATCATTTATATCAGAGAGTGAATTTGTTGAGTCAGTTGAAAAAGGTGTCATGAAACTCAGACCCTTGTCACCAGAATCAGTAACTTCAGAAGATGATTATTCCTTCCTTGAGCTCTTGTTATCAGAGTCTAGACCATCCTCTCCAGAGTCTGTTGCATCATTTGATGAGTACAGGCCCCTCTCTCCAGACTCCCCAGTTCCCGATTTCAGACCACATTGTTGTGATTATTATTTGCTATTCACAGAAGATAGATCTTCGTCACCTGAATCAGTCACCTCAACATTGAATTCTCTGGATTTAGCTCAAGGAATTATTAGCTGAAAACAGAGCATATTCTCCTGATTCTGTATGTCGGAGAGTGAGTCGTTGAGTCAGTTGAATTTGGGGGTGTAATATCTCAAAGATCTCTGTCACCAATCAATAACTTCAGAAGATGATTATTCCTTCCTTGAGCTCTTGTTATCAGAGTCTAGACCATCCTCTCCAGTCTGTTGAAATCATTTGATGAGTACAGGACCCTCCCCCCTGACTCTCCAGTTCCTCACTTCATGCCTCAATGTTGTGATTATTATTTGGCTTTCACTGGAAGTAAGTGTCATCCCCTGAATCAGTCACCTCAGACATTGAATTCTCTGGATTTACCCTCAAGGAATTATTTGATGAAAACAGAGCATATTCACCTATTCCTGTATGTCTGAGAGTGAGTCTGTTGAGTCAGTTGAATTGGGTGTATTCTCAAAGATCTCTGTCACCAGAATCAATCACTTCAAAAGGTGACTTTACTTCCTTGAGCTCTTGTTATCAGAGTCTAGACCATCCTCTCCAGAGTCTATTGCATTATTTGATGAGTACAGGCCTCTCTCTCCTGATTCTCCATTTTCCTCATTTTCATGCCTCATTGTTGCAATTATATTTGGCATTCACTGGAAGTAGATGTTCATCACCAAAACCCAGTATCTCAGATATTGAGTTCTCAGGACTTTACCTTAAAGGGAAATTTATTGCTGAGGACAGAGCAGATTCTCCTGAATCGATATATTCAGACAATGATTTTCTGGATCAATTGGAAGCAGGACTTGTTCCACCTCTTGCTTGAATCAGTTTTCTCCAGTTTCTGATCCTCTCCCTCACTCTACCCAATCTGAAACTCTGTTAACAATTAATCTCACCTGCCCTTAGTCCAGTCTGAATCTGTGCACAGAGACACCAAACCAGAAATTAGTATCTACCCCCAACAATGGCAAAAGAGGCTCTGTTGAGGATCAAACCACATTGCCAGTTGCAGTTAAGAAAGCATTTATACAGCTTGACTTGAGTGATGAGAAGTTTGGTTCGTTATTACCAGTCCCTGTACTGATGCCAGTAAAGCAGGAGCCAGCTAATGCTCTAGATGAGGTAGACGAAGACAATTTGAAACACCAAGATATATCTGAAGTCAAATCTTTATCTCCCGAGTCAGTCTTTTCAGACAGTGTTTCACAATTCAGAGCTGGACATTGTAATTATTATTTGTTATACAGTGGGAGGATTTCTCCGATACCTGAATCTGTAACAACATTTGATGATCATAGGCCTCTTTCTCCTGACTCACCTGCTTCACAATTCAGACCTGGACATTGTGATTATTATTTGGTGTACAATGTGAGTAGTTCTGTGTCACCTCAGTCTGTAACTTCAGACATTGAATATCATGGTTTGTACAGACCAGGTTCCCCGTCAGATAGTGAATTGATAGTGACAGTTCAAAGTAGCGTATCTGTGCATAGACCACTCTCACCAGAATCAATAACTTCAGAAGATGATTATTCCTTCCTTGAGCTCTTGTTGTCAGAGACTAGACCATCCTCTCCAGAGTCTGTTGCATCATTTGATGATTACAGGCCTCTCTCTCCAGACTCTCCAGTTCCTCACTTCATGCCTCAATGTTGTGATTATTTGGCTTTCACTGGAAGTAGATGTTCATCACCTGAATCAGTATCTTCAGGTATTGAATTCTCTGAGTTCTGTCTTGAGGAACTGTTTGCTGAAGAAAGAGCAGATTCACCTGAATCAATTATATCAGAGAGTGAAATTGTTGAGTCAGTTGAAGGAGGTCTAATGAAATTCAGACCCTTGTCACCAGAATCAATAACTTCAGAAGATGATTATACCTTCCTTGAGCTCTTGTTTGCAGAGTCTAGACCATCTTCACCTCATTCTATCACTTCAACTGACGAATATCGATCTCTATCTCCTGATTCCCCAATCCCACAATTTAGACCCACAATAATTGAGTTGTCAATGTCATTCCTTAGCAGATCTCCGTCACCTATTTCAGTAACTTCAGACATTGAAGGATCTGGCTTCTATCTTGAGGAATTATTCAATGAAGAGAGACCAGATTCACCTGAATCATTTATATCAGAGAGTGAATTTGTTGAGTCAGTTGAAAAAGGTGTCATGAAACTCAGACCCTTGTCACCAGAATCAGTAACTTCAGAAGATGATTATTCCTTCCTTGAGCTCTTGTTATCAGAGTCTAGACCATCCTCTCCAGAGTCTGTTGCATCATTTGATGAGTACAGGCCCCTCTCTCCAGACTCCCCAGTTCCCGATTTCAGACCACATTGTTGTGATTATTATTTGCTATTCACAGAAGATAGATCTTCGTCACCTGAATCAGTCACCTCAGACATTGAATTCTCTGGATTTAGCCTCAAGGAATTATTAGCTGAAAACAGAGCATATTCTCCTGATTCCTGTATGTCTGAGAGTGAGTCTGTTGAGTCAGTTGAATTGGGGTGTAATATCTCAAAGATCTCTGTCACCAGAATCAATAACTTCAGAAGATGATTATTCCTTCCTTGAGCTCTTGTTATCAGAGTCTAGACCATCCTCTCCAGAGTCTGTTGCATCATTTGATGAGTACAGGACCCTCTCTCCTGACTCTCCAGTTCCTCACTTCATGCCTCAATGTTGTGATTATTATTTGGCTTTCACTGGAAGTAGATGTTCATCACCTGAATCAGTCACCTCAGACATTGAATTCTCTGGATTTACCCTCAAGGAATTATTTGATGAAAACAGAGCATATTCACCTGATTCCTGTATGTCTGAGAGTGAGTCTGTTGAGTCAGTTGAATTGGGTGTAATATCTCAAAGATCTCTGTCACCAGAATCAATCACTTCAGAAGGTGACTTTACCTTCCTTGAGCTCTTGTTATCAGAGTCTAGACCATCCTCTCCAGAGTCTATTGCATTATTTGATGAGTACAGGCCTCTCTCTCCTGATTCTCCAGTTCCTCACTTCATGCCTCATTGTTGCAATTATGATTTGGCATTCACTGGAAGTAGATGTTCATCACCAGAATCAGTATCTTCAGATATTGAGTTCTCAGGACTTTACCTTAAGGAATTTATTGCTGAGGACAGAGCAGATTCTCCTGAATCGATATATTCAGACAATGATTTTCTGGATCAATTGGAAGCAGGACTTGTTCCACTCTTGCTTGAATCAGCTTCTCCAGTTTCTGATCCTCTCCCTCACTCTACCCAATCTGAAACATCTGTTAACAAATTAATCTCACCTGTCTTAGTCCAGTCTGAATCTGTGCACAGAGACACCAAACCAGATATATTAGTATCTACCACAACAATGGCAAAAGAAGGCTCTGTTGAGGATCAAACCACATTGCCAGTTGCAGTTAAGAAAGCATTTATACAGCTTGACTTGAGTGATGAGAAGTTTGGTTCGTTATTACCAGTCCCTGTACTGATGCCAGTAAAGCAGGAGCCAGCTAATGCTCTAGATGAGGTAGACGAAGACAATTTGAAACACCAAGATATATCTGAAGTCAAATCTTTATCTCCCGAGTCAGTCTTTTCAGACAGTGTTTCACAATTCAGAGCTGGACATTGTAATTATTATTTGTTATACAGTGGGAGGATTTCTCCGATACCTGAATCTGTAACAACATTTGATGATCATAGGCCTCTTTCTCCTGACTCACCTGCTTCACAATTCAGACCTGGACATTGTGATTATTATTTGGTGTACAATGTGAGTAGTTCTGTGTCACCTCAGTCTGTAACTTCAGACATTGAATATCATGGTTTGTACAGACCAGGTTCCCCGTCAGATAGTGAATTGATAGTGACAGTTCAAAGTAGCGTATCTGTGCATAGACCACTCTCACCAGAATCAATAACTTCAGAAGATGATTATTCCTTCCTTGAGCTCTTGTTGTCAGAGACTAGACCATCCTCTCCAGAGTCTGTTGCATCATTTGATGATTACAGGCCTCTCTCTCCAGACTCTCCAGTTCCTCACTTCATGCCTCAATGTTGTGATTATTTGGCTTTCACTGGAAGTAGATGTTCATCACCTGAATCAGTATCTTCAGGTATTGAATTCTCTGAGTTCTGTCTTGAGGAACTGTTTGCTGAAGAAAGAGCAGATTCACCTGAATCAATTATATCAGAGAGTGAAATTGTTGAGTCAGTTGAAGGAGGTCTAATGAAATTCAGACCCTTGTCACCAGAATCAATAACTTCAGAAGATGATTATACCTTCCTTGAGCTCTTGTTTGCAGAGTCTAGACCATCTTCACCTCATTCTATCACTTCAACTGACGAATATCGATCTCTATCTCCTGATTCCCCAATCCCACAATTTAGACCCACAATAATTGAGTTGTCAATGTCATTCCTTAGCAGATCTCCGTCACCTATTTCAGTAACTTCAGACATTGAAGGATCTGGCTTCTATCTTGAGGAATTATTCAATGAAGAGAGACCAGATTCACCTGAATCATTTATATCAGAGAGTGAATTTGTTGAGTCAGTTGAAAAAGGTGTCATGAAACTCAGACCCTTGTCACCAGAATCAGTAACTTCAGAAGATGATTATTCCTTCCTTGAGCTCTTGTTATCAGAGTCTAGACCATCCTCTCCAGAGTCTGTTGCATCATTTGATGAGTACAGGCCCCTCTCTCCAGACTCCCCAGTTCCCGATTTCAGACCACATTGTTGTGATTATTATTTGCTATTCACAGAAGATAGATCTTCGTCACCTGAATCAGTCACCTCAGACATTGAATTCTCTGGATTTAGCCTCAAGGAATTATTAGCTGAAAACAGAGCATATTCTCCTGATTCCTGTATGTCTGAGAGTGAGTCTGTTGAGTCAGTTGAATTGGGTGTAATATCTCAAAGATCTCTGTCACCAGAATCAATAACTTCAGAAGATGATTATTCCTTCCTTGAGCTCTTGTTATCAGAGTCTAGACCATCCTCTCCAGAGTCTGTTGCATCATTTGATGAGTACAGGACCCTCTCTCCTGACTCTCCAGTTCCTCACTTCATGCCTCAATGTTGTGATTATTATTTGGCTTTCACTGGAAGTAGATGTTCATCACCTGAATCAGTCACCTCAGACATTGAATTCTCTGGATTTACCCTCAAGGAATTATTTGATGAAAACAGAGCATATTCACCTGATTCCTGTATGTCTGAGAGTGAGTCTGTTGAGTCAGTTGAATTGGGTGTAATATCTCAAAGATCTCTGTCACCAGAATCAATCACTTCAGAAGGTGACTTTACCTTCCTTGAGCTCTTGTTATCAGAGTCTAGACCATCCTCTCCAGAGTCTATTGCATTATTTGATGAGTACAGGCCTCTCTCTCCTGATTCTCCAGTTCCTCACTTCATGCCTCATTGTTGCAATTATGATTTGGCATTCACTGGAAGTAGATGTTCATCACCAGAATCAGTATCTTCAGATATTGAGTTCTCAGGACTTTACCTTAAGGAATTTATTGCTGAGGACAGAGCAGATTCTCCTGAATCGATATATTCAGACAATGATTTTCTGGATCAATTGGAAGCAGGACTTGTTCCACTCTTGCTTGAATCAGCTTCTCCAGTTTCTGATCCTCTCCCTCACTCTACCCAATCTGAAACATCTGTTAACAAATTAATCTCACCTGTCTTAGTCCAGTCTGAATCTGTGCACAGAGACACCAAACCAGATATATTAGTATCTACCACAACAATGGCAAAAGAAGGCTCTGTTGAGGATCAAACCACATTGCCAGTTGCAGTTAAGAAAGCATTTATACAGCTTGACTTGAGTGATGAGAAGTTTGGTTCGTTATTACCAGTCCCTGTACTGATGCCAGTAAAGCAGGAGCCAGCTAATGCTCTAGATGAGGTAGACGAAGACAATTTGAAACACCAAGATATATCTGAAGTCAAATCTTTATCTCCCGAGTCAGTCTTTTCAGACAGTGTTTCACAATTCAGAGCTGGACATTGTAATTATTATTTGTTATACAGTGGGAGGATTTCTCCGATACCTGAATCTGTAACAACATTTGATGATCATAGGCCTCTTTCTCCTGACTCACCTGCTTCACAATTCAGACCTGGACATTGTGATTATTATTTGGTGTACAATGTGAGTAGTTCTGTGTCACCTCAGTCTGTAACTTCAGACATTGAATATCATGGTTTGTACAGACCAGGTTCCCAGTCAGATAGTGAATTGATAGTGACAGTTCAAAGTAGCGTATCTGAGCATAGACCACTCTCACCAGAATCAATAACTTCAGAAGATGATTATTCCTTCCTTGAGCTCTTGTTATCAGAGTCTAGACCATCCTCTCCAGAGTCTGTTGCATCATTTGATGAGTACAGGCCTCTCTCTCCAGACTCTCCAGTTCCTCACTTCATGCCTCAATGTTGTGATTATTTGGCTTTCACTGGAAGTAGATGTTCATCACCTGAATCAGTATCTTCAGATATTGAATTCTCAGATTTCTGTCTTGAGGAACTGTTTGCTGAAGAAAGAGCAGATTCACCTGAATCATTTATATCAGAGAGTGAAATTGTTGAGTCAGTTGAAAGAGGTCTAATGAAATTCAGACCCTTGTCACCAGAATCAATAACTTCAGAAGATGATTATACCTTCCTTGAGCTCTTGTTATCAGAGTCTAGACCCTCTTCACCTCATTCTATCACTTCAACTGACGAATATCGATCTCTATCTCCTGATTCCCCAATCCCACAATTTAGACCCACAATAATTGAGTTGTCAATGTCATTCCTTAGCAGATCTCCGTCACCTATTTCAGTAACTTCAGACATTGAAGGATCTGGCTTCTATCTTGAGGAATTATTCAATGAAGAGAGACCAGATTCACCTGAGTCATTTATATCAAAGAGTGAATTTGTTGAGTCAGTTGAAAAAGGTGTCATGAATATCAGACCCTTGTCACCAGAATCAGTAACTTCAGAAGATGATTATTCCTTCCTTGAGCTCTTGTTATCAGAGTCTAGACCATCCTCTCCAGAGTCTGTTGCATCATTTGATGAGTACAGGACCCTCTCTCCTGATTCTCCAGTTCCTCACTTCATGCCTCATTGTTGCAATTATTATTTGGCCTTCACTGGAAGTAGATCCTCATCACCAGAATCAGTCACCTCAGACGTTGAATTTTCTGGATTTAGCCTTGAGGAATTGTTTGCTGATTACAGAGCAGATTCTCCTGAATTGATATATTCAGACAATGAATTTCTGGATCAATTGGAAGCAGGACTTGTTCCACTCTTGCATGAATCAGTTTCTCCAGTTTCTGATCCTCTCCCTCACTCTACTCAATCTGAAACATCTGTTAACAAATTAATCTCACCTGCCTTAGTCCAGTCTGAATCTGTGCACAGAGACACCAAACCAGAGATATTAGTATCTACCACAACAATGGCAAAAGAAGGCTCTGTTGAGGATCAAACCACATTGCCAGTTGCAGTTAAGAAAGCATTTATACAGCTTGACTTGAGTGATGAGAAGTTTTGTTCGTTATTACCAGTCCCTGTACTGATGCCAGTAAAGCAGGAGCCAGCTAATTCTCTTGATGAGGTAGAGGAAGACAATTTGAAACACCAAGATATATCTGAAGTCAAACCTTTATCTCCCGAGTCAGTCTTTTCAGACAGTGTTTCACAATTCAGACCTGGACATTGTAATTATTATTTGTTATACAGTGGGAGGATTTCTCCGATACCTGAATCTGTAACAACATTTGATGATCATAGGCCTCTTTCTCCTGACTCACCTGCTTCACAATTCAGACCTGGACATTGTGATTATTATTTGGTGTACAATGTGAGTAGTTCTGTGTCACCTCAGTCTGTAACTTCAGACATTGAATATCATGGTTTGTACAGACCAGGTTCCCCGTCAGATAGTGAATTGATAGTGACAGTTCAAAGTAGCGTATCTGAGCATAGACCACTCTCACCAGAATCAATAACTTCAGAAGATGATTATTCCTTCCTTGAGCTCTTGTTATCAGAGTCTAGACCATCCTCTCCAGAGTCTGTTGCATCATTTGATGAGTACAGTCCTCTCTCTCCAGACTCTCCAGTTCCTCACTTCATGCCTCAATGTTGTGATTATTTGGCTTTCACTGGAAGTAGATGTTCATCACCTGAATCAGTATCTTCAGGTATTGAATTCTCTGAGTTCTGTCTTGAGGAACTGTTTGCTGAAGAAAGAGCAGATTCACCTGAATCAATTATATCAGAGAGTGAAATTGTTGAGTCAGTTGAAGGAGGTCTAATGAAATTCAGACCCTTGTCACCAGAATCAATAACTTCAGAAGATGATTATACCTTCCTTGAGCTCTTGTTTGCAGAGTCTAGACCATCTTCACCTCATTCTATCACTTCAACTGACGAATATCGATCTCTATCTCCTGATTCCCCAATCCCACAATTTAGACCCACAATAATTGAGTTGTCAATGTCATTCCTTAGCAGATCTCCGTCACCTATTTCAGTAACTTCAGACATTGAAGGATCTGGCTTCTATCTTGAGGAATTATTCAATGAAGAGAGACCAGATTCACCTGAATCATTTATATCAGAGAGTGAATTTGTTGAGTCAGTTGAAAAAGGTGTCATGAAACTCAGACCCTTGTCACCAGAATCAATAACTTCAGAAGATGATTATACCTTCCTTGAGCTCTTGTTATCAGAGTCTAGACCATCCTCTCCAGATTCTGTTGCATCATTTGATGAGTACAGGCCCCTCTCTCCAGACTCCCCAGTTCCCGATTTCAGACCACATTGTTGTGATTATTATCTGCTATTCACAGAAGATAGATCTTCATCACCACAATCAGTCACCTCAGACATTGAATTCTCTGGATTTAGCCTCAAGGAATTATTTGCTGAAAACAGAGCATATTCTCCTGATTCCTGTATGTCTGAGAGTGAGTCTGCTGAGTCAGTTGAATTGGGTGTAATATCTCAAAGATCTCTGTCACCAGAATCAATAACTTCAGAAGCTGACTTTACCTTCCTTGATCTCTTTTTTGTAGAGTCTAGATCATCCTCTCCTGAATCTGTAACATCATTTGATGAATACAGGCCTCTCTCTCCTGACTCACCTGTTCCTGATTTCAGACCTCAATACTGTGATTATTATTTGCTGTTCACTGCTGATAGTTCTTCGTCTCCTGAATCAGTCAGTTCAGATCTTGAGTACTCTGGATCTTCCCTTGAGGAATTATTTACCGAGGACAGACCAAATTCACCTATTTCCATCTGGTCAGAGGGCGGTGATCATGATGATGATGATGGTAGTCCTCCAGAAGAGATCCCAACTGTACATTGGGCTATCATACAACAGTTCATGGTGTCTAAAGCTGTACAAACAGGCTTATCAACTGACACGGATGAATTTTCATCCCTGCCTGAAGTGCGGCCCGCGTCTCCAGAATATAGACTAGTTTACAAGGCCGTTCCCATCAAACGAATGTCCCATATGTATGACCCAGCGTACGAAGGTGAAACCTGCTACAGTAAGAATGGTGTTTCCGAACATTCCGAACATAGACAGAAGGTTAGACAGGCACTTGACTGTCAGAGGGGACTTTGTGGTGATTTCAGGCCAGTTCATTTTAGCGAATCCAACCGTGGCATGCCAAGTGTCTCTGAAACATCAGCAGTTGAGGTGACAGAACAAGATATCTCCTCACTAAAACACTCTAACATCACCGACCAGACAGTCACAGAAACTTTCCATGAACCTCATTTGCCAATATCCCAGCCAGTAGAGACAGAAATCAGAACCCCTTCCCCCGTTTTAGCTGAATGGGAGTTTGTCCAGTTGTCGTCCCTTCCTGAGTATAGACCTCTTTCTCCTGAGTCACTCGGTTCAGACAGTGATGGAATCCTTTTATATCTTGACCACTTCTTTACTGACATGAGGCCGTCTTCACCTGAATCTGTTGCGTCAGCGAATGAATACTGGCCTCTCTCTCCTGACTCTCCAGTTCCCCACTACGGACCTAGAATCCTAGATGTTATCACGACTGCAGAGCGTAGATCTTCCCTATATTCAGTTACATCAGACATTGAATTGTTCGGATTATGTCTTGAGGAATCGTTTGCTGAGGACAGAGCAGATTCTCCTGATTCCTTTAATTCAGAAGGTGAATATGAACAGGTCGATGAGACACTGACCAAATCCGGTCCTCTATCAGCAGAATCGTCAAAAACAGAAGATGAGTACGCTCATTCCTTCATTCAGTACTGGCTTTCCGAGTTACAGCCATCCTCTTTAGACCCCATGACATCACTAGATGAGTTACAGCCATCCTCTGCAGAACCCATGACATCACTAGATGAGTTACAGCCATCCTCTGAAGAACCCATGACATCACTAGATGAGTTAGATGCTGCAGAAACAAGCTCATCCACAGAAATTGAGGATTCCGAAGCTCAGCCTATTGATGAATTCTCTGAAGGAAAAACGTTGACTCCAGTTCCTTCCAAGCTAATGGCCCAAACATTTGACCCAGCGTACAAAGGTGAAACGTTCTTGAATAAATCAGGTGTTTTTGAATGTGCAGGAGACAGACAGGTTAGAGAGATAATGGAGCGTCTGAAGGACAAAGAAATTGTCCTGGGCAGGCCGATCACACCAGAATCAATAACGTCAGAAGAGATTCAGTCGTTTTTGAATGATTGGTCTACTGAGTTAGAGTTAAGGCCAAACTCTATTGAATCACTTGATGAGGATAGGCCTCTCTCTCCTGACTCTCCTATTCCCCAGTTCTTACATCAATGTTGTGATTATTACTTGGAACTCCCTGGTGATAGGTCTCAATCACCTCTGTCAGTAACGTCAGACATTGAATACTGTGGATCATATCTCAATGAACTGATTCCTGAACACAGACCAGATTCTGCTGATTCCTTTTTGGCCGATAGTGAATTCAAAGAGTCAATTGAACAATTTTTTATGAAGCTCAGAGCCCTGTCACCAAAATCAGTAACTTCAGAAGATGATTATACCTTCCTTGACCTCTTGTTTTCAGAGTCTAGACCATATTCTCCTGAATCTGTAACATCGCTTGATGAGGATAGGCCTCTCTCTCCTGACTCTCCTATTCCCCAGTTCTTACATCAATGTTGTGATTATTACTTGGTATTCCCTGGTGATAGGTCTCAATCACCTGAATCAGTAACTTCAGATATTGAGTACTCAGAACTTTACCTCAAGGAACTATTTGGTGAGGACAGACCAGATTCTCCTGATTCCTTTATGTCCGAGGGTGAGTTTAAGACAGTTGAAAAAGGTGTCATGAATTACAGATCTCTTTCACCAGAATCAATAACTTCAGAAGATGACCATACATTCCTTGAGCTCTTGTTTGCAGAGTCTAGACCATCATCACCGGAATCTGTAACATTGTTTGATGAGTATAGACCCCTTTCTCCTGACTCTCCAATTCCCCAGTTCTTACATCAATATTGTGATTATTATTTGGTTTTCCCTGCTGATAGGTCTTCATCACCTGAATCAGTAACATCAGATATTGAATTCTCTGAGTTCTGTCTCGATGAATTGTTTGCTGAGGACAGAGCAGATTCTCCTGATTCCTTTAATTCAGAAGGTGAATATGAACAGGTCGATGAGACACTGACCAAATCCAGTCCTCTATCAGCAGAATCGTCAAAAACAGAAGACGAGTACGCTCATTCCTTCATTCAGTACTGGCTTTCCGAGTTACAGCCATCCTCTGTAGACCCAATGACATCACTAGATGAGTTAGATGCTGCAGAAACAAGCTCATCCACAGAAATGGATGATTCTGAATCGCAGCCTATTTATGAATTCTCTGGTAGAAAAACATCAACTCTAGAATATAGACTGGTTTATAAGGCAGTTCCTTCCACGCTAATGGCCCATACATTAGATCCAGCGTACAAAGGTGAAACCTATTTCACTATGACAGGTGTTTTTGAATATGCAGGAGACAGACTTGTTAGAAAAGTCCTGGATCAACCGCAGCAATCTGTTGAAGACTTGAGGCAAGTTAGTGTTGAAGAACCAGCCTCACCTTGTCATTCTGCTACTCCAGAAGATGAGGAGACAGTACTAGAGGGATCCTTACTAACAGTCCCTCATGTCACTGACCAGACAGTCACAGAAACTTTGCAGGAACCTCATTTGCCAATATCCCAGTCAGTAGAGACAGAAATCAGAACCACTTCCCCCGTCTTAGCTGAATGGGAGTTCATCCAGTTGTCGTACCTTCCTGAGTATAGACCTCTTTCTCCTGAGTCACTCGGTTCAGACAGGGATGGAATCCTTTTATATCTTGACCACTTCTTTACTGACATGAGGCCGTCTTCACCTGAATCTGTTGCGTCATTTGATGAGTACAGGCCTCTCTCTCCTGACTCTCCAGTTCCCCACTTCATGCCTCAATGTTGTGATTATTATTTGGCTCCCACTGGTGATCGATCTTCGTCACCTCAATCAGTAACTTCAGGTATTGAATTCTCTGAGTTCTGTCTTGAGGAATTGTTTGCTGAAGAAAGAGCAGATTCACCCGAGTCATTGATATCAGAAGATGGAACGAGATTAGTAGATGAGTCAGACAAAGATATGAGCCAAGACCCGGATTCAACATCAGAAGAGAGCCTGTCATTTTTAGAGGACTGGTTTTCAGAATTAGATCTAAGACCATCCTCCCCTGAATCTGTTGCATCACAAGAGGAGTACAGGCCCCTCTCTCCTGACTCACCTGTCCCCCAATATGGACCTGGTTTGTCTGTTTTTACCGTGTCAGCGGGACAGAGGTGTTCGACACCTGAATCTGTGATATCAGACTGGGATGAGTTTGGTCTGGAGGACTTGCTCTGTGAGACCAGCGCCTTTTCTCCTGACTCCATCCGTTCCGACACAGATACTGTTTTAACTCAGGGTGACGGTCAACATTATCCTCCAACAGACCAGGTTTCCACTGAACATGAACCTGAAATGACAGTTGAAAGAGCACGCTTAAAACAACCCCCGGAATTAACATGGGCCCCTTTTAGGTTAGTTTCCCCAGTAGTTTACCAAACCCACCGAGCAGTAGAAGCGTTTTTTTGTAGGGCCTCCTCCCCAGACAGCCACAGAGAACCTGTAGATGATGTAGAGACTCACAGACCTCACCAAGCGTCCTCTCAGTCGAGTCACATGCCATCGGACGAACAAAATCTGGGGTCTCCTGTTGCTGCTGTCAGGGCTGGAGGAGGCGGGTTCACCACCAAAGACCTCAAGCAAGTCGTAAGTCAATCCAAAGAAAAGAACACAGTAATGTCCCCTACGTTGAAAGGAAGTGAAGTGCAACCCGAGATGGAGGAGACAAGCAAGCACCTGAAAAGAAAGGCGATGAGAAAAGAGGAGGACGGCAGAGTTTCTGCGGCGTCGGTAAGACCACACGCGTTCTCCATCAGCAGGGGAATGCAGTGACGCTTTCTAAAAAAAACAATAAGGCTGGAAGTGCGTAGTGCGTAGTTCGCATGCGTCGTGTACGACCCTTGGGTCTCAAGCTTTCACTAATGTGTTTTGACGCATAGCCGCAGAAGCTTGACACTCCTGCTGAGGCATGTTTGCATCAGCAATGCAGGAAGTGTCTCAGAAAAGGCAACTAATGAACGGTGGTGAGACACGTTTTAGTCTCAACACCGTGTACTTTCTTTCTGTCACATGGTGTGTCCTCAAGATAAAGTAGCTGACTAGATAGAGGTTATGGGACAAATTCCCAAATGTAACTTTATTCCCTCTGTAGTGCACTACTTTTGACCAGAGATGTGCAGGCCCTGGTTAAAAGCCGTGCATTGCCAAGGGAATAGGGTGCCATTTGGGACATACCCTCAGAGATGGACTGGGACTCTGCATGATGGTGCATTTCTTCACACAGAAAAAAACGACAGAAGTCATGTCTTACATTGAAAGATTGCCTTGGAGCTTAGCAGGGTTGACAGTTGATTGCCTTGGAGATTAGTAGGGTTGACAGTTGATTGCCTTGGAGCTTAGTAGGGTTGACAGTTGATTGCCTTGGAGATTAGTAGGGTTGACAGCAGATTGCCTTGGAGCTTAGTAGGGTTGACAGTTGATTGCCTTGGAGCTTATTAAGGTTGACAGTTGATTGCCTTGGAGCTTAGTAGGGTTGACAGTTGATTGCCTTGGGACTTAGTAGGGTTGACAGCTGATTGCCTTGGAGCTTAGTAGGGTTGACAGCTGATTGCCTTGGAGCTTAGTAGGGTTGACAGGTTGATTGCCTTGGAGCTTAGTAAGGTTGACAGTTGATTGCCTTGGAGCTTAGTAGGGTTGACAGTTGATTGCCTTGGAGCTTAGTAGGGTTGACAGTTGATTGCCTTGGAGCTTAGTAGGGTTGACAGCTGATTGCCTTGGAGCTTAGTAGGGTTGACAGTTGATTGCCTTGGAGCTTAGTAAGGTTGACAGTTGATTGCCTTGGAGCTTAGTAGGGTTGACAGTTGATTGCCTTGGAGCTTAGTAGGGTTGACAGTTGATTGCCTTGGAGCTTAGTAGGGTTGACAGCTGATTGCCTTGGAGCTTAGTAGGGTTGACAGTTGATTGCCTTGGAGCTTAGTAAGGTTGACAGTTGATTGCCTTGGAGCTTAGTAGGGTTGACAGTTGATTGCCTTGGAGCTTAGTAGGGTTGACAGTTGATTGCCTTGGAGCTTAGTAGGGTTGACAGCTGATTGCCTTGGAGCTTAGTAGGGTTGACAGTTGATTGCCTTGGAGCTTAGTAAGGTTGACAGTTGATTGCCTTGGAGTTTAGTGGGGTTGACAGCTGATTGCCTTGGAGCTTAGTAGGGTTGACAGTTGATTGCCTTGGAGCTTAGTAAGGTTGACAGTTGATTGCCTTGGAGTTTAGTGGGGTTGACAGTTGATTGCCTTGGAGCTTAGTAGGGTTGACAGTTGATTGTCTTGGAGCTTAGTAGGGTTGACAGTTGATTGCCTTGGAGCTTAGTAGGGTTGACAGCTGATTGCCTTGGAGCTTAGTAGGGTTAACAGTTGATTGCCTTGGAGCTTAGTAGGGTTGACATATGATTGCATTGGAGCTTAGTAGGGTTGACAGCTGATTGCCTTGGAGCTTAGTAGGGTTGACAGTTGTTTGCCTTGGAGCTTAGTAGGGTTGACAGTTGATTGCCTTGGAGCTTAGTAAGGTTGACAGTTGATTGCCTTGGAGCTTAGTAGGGTTGACAGTTGATTGCCTTGGAGCTTAGTAGGGTTGACAGCTGATTGCCTTGGAGCTTAGTAGGGTTAACAGTTGATTGCCTTGGAGCTTAGTAGGGTTGACAGTCGATTGCCTTGGAGCTTAGTAGGGTTGACAGTTGATTGCCTTGGAGCTTAATCGGGTTGACAGCTGATTGCCTTGGAGCTTAGTAGGGTTGACAGTTGATTGCCTTGGAGTTTAGTAGGGTTGACAGCTGATTGCCTTGGAGCTTAGTAGGGTTGACAGTTGATTGCCTTGGAGCTTAGTAGGGTTGACAGTTGATTGCGTTGGAGCTTAGTAGGGTTGACAGTTGATTGCCTTGGAGCTACGTAGGGTTGACAGTTGATCGCCTTGGAGCTTAGTAGGGTTGACAGTTGATCGCCTTGGAGCTTAGTAGGGTTGACAGTTGATTGCCTTGACTGTGTATTTCCTACTGTGGTATTACTGCATTTCAGAGAATGTTGTCTTAGAGAGAAGGCTTTAGGAGAATTTCTATAAGAAATGTACCCATCGCATTTTGATATAAGGAGTTATATGTGTCCTGATCAAATGAGTACTTCTGAACTGCTTCTATGCTTTGTACTACTATTAGAAGTGCAGTACTTCTGAGTACATGCAGGTAATGTATGTACAGTGTGACAATACTATAGGTTTATTGATTTGGCTCATCTTTTTTGGTGATTTCATTAATTAATTGGAATGTTCATTTGAAATACATTGTCATGATGTATGGGACCATGTTGCTGCATGCACTGTATTGCTCCTTTGTCCATACTATAGTTTCCTCAACAATATTAATCATGAATCATTGAGGTTGATAAATTCCAGTAACTTTCCCAAAATTCCCAGGTTTTCCAGAAATCGTGGTCGGAGGATTCTTGGATGATTCTTGGAATTCTTCCAACCGGGATTTCTAGAACATCTGGGAATTTTGGGAAAGTTACCGGAATTTTGCAACCCTAACTTCATCACAAACTCATTTTATAATTTGTTTTTCCCATTCCATCATTCCCATCCAGGTTTCAGCAGGATCCTCCATGGATAATCTATCAGAACCCAAACATGTATCAGAGCTGGACCAACCGTATACTAATAGACCTATCTCAAACAAAACACTCATGTCTGAAATCCAATCTGGGACTCCAGATCTCCAGATTCCAAATGCCTTTGAATTCAGTCCGTTATCCCCTGAAATGACAATGCCCACTGAGAAGATGAGGGTATTGCCAGAAAGTGCAGAAAAACCATTGAAACTGAACAAGGAGTCCTCTTCTTCTGAAACTAGTCCAGTGTCACCAGACATTCTCAGCCACACCTCAGAAGACAGCCAAGGTGACGAAGCAGGATCGTCAGCGAGCAATCCACGAGCACCCCCGGAGTCAGGGGCACACGCCCAGCTTGATCAGCTGCTGTCGGAATTGGAAGACATCAAACCGGAACTCCGACCAGAAACTCCGGAACCACTGGACTCACCTTTTTCGAAATCCAGCAAAGGGGGTCCTGTAGATCTCCAACCTTATGTTGAGTTTGAGGAACTCTTGCCTGAATCAGACGGAAATCCCACTGAGGGTGAGGAAGAGATCTCATCCCCTGTTCAGATCACAGGAGAGCCAGCTGAAATAAGTGCAGCGGCCTCGGTGCTGACCCATCTCTCCCTGTCCTATGAAACTGATCCAGAGGTATTTGGAGTGACCGTAGATCTAGTCAAGACCTTCCCAGAGCCTAACCAAGTTACAGCTGATCCGGTTCAGTTGAGCCACTTGGAGTCCCTGCAAACACACAGAGCAGAAGAATCGGACCTCACTGGTTCCATGCCTTTGGTTAGCCCCACTGCCGCTATCGAATCCGTCGGAACATCGGAATCTCCAGAACCATGCCATAAAGTTCTAGAACTGTCATCAGAATCAATCGTTCCAACTCAAGAGTTCCGATCACCGGAACCATGCCATAAAGTTCTAGAACTGTCATCAGAATCAATCGTTCCAACTCAAGAGTTCCGATCACTGGAACATGATGAAGCTGCATATGACAGCAGATCATCAGTTGTTTTTAACGAACCTTCAACTGTAGAAGAACATCAAATCAGTCTCCCACATCAGAACCAGGAGACAGTTGATGAAGAACATTCAAACCTCAAGCAGGTGTCTGACAAACAGAAAACCTTTGAGGAAAGTCAAATTCATGAATCAGTTGATGAAGAATATGCCAACTTCAAAGAAACATCAAGCATTCAAGCTGCAGTCGTAAAGGCATCCATTGAACAAAGCAAAGTATTGTGCGAATCTGGAGGATTAACCACTGAGCCAAGCCAATTGGTAGATGAACCATGCATGAGCAATACCCCAGAAGTTGTGTCACATTTAAGGGATCGCACTCCTCCTGAAACCCTTGAATACGATGAGTGGTCGCCCCAGTCGCTCTCTGACGTGACCCCACAGACTCCAGAGACCGTCACCGCCTCTGCGCACTTCAGCTTCGACGAGTTGAGCCCCTACCAGAGTCCTACGTACCTCAACATGCTCTCTGAAGACCTCGAGACAAATACAAGTGAGCAACCATCAGAGGATCCAGTCACCCCTGTTGAGGTAAAGTCCCCTGTCTCCCAGCCCGGTCCAGTAGGACCCAGGGCAGAGATGGTGTCAGCCCAACCTGGTCCAGTAGAACCCAGGGCAGAGATGGTGTCAGCCCAACCTGGTCCAGTAGAACCCAGGGCAGAGATGGTGTCAGCCCAACCTGGTCCAGTAGAACCCAGGGCAGAGATGGTGTCAGCCCAACCCGGTCCAGAGGTTGCAGCATCAGCCCACGATGAAGAAATCTTCATGGAGTTCATCTTCCCTCCTAAGTATACTGAGACATCCTCCTCCTCTAGCCACAAACCCAAGCCTCCAACCTACACAGAAGTCATTAGAGGCAGCACCACCATGCACTTATACGAAGACTCTGACCCGGAGGCTTACTTTGACTGCAAACAGGGCGTCTCAGACTTCTCAGAGACGGAACCTGACGAACTGAAGAAGTGGGAAAGGTCAGGGGTCGGCCGAACCCGAGGACAAGCGTCCCATTCAGGAGCCCCAGGGAGAAAGTACCAGAAGCCGACGGCGCTTCCGGGATGCTCCGATGACATTAAGGAAGAGAGTGAAGAGCTGGCTCACTCTCCCGTCTCAGCCTTTTACCAGGCTCCTCAGGAGCTTCCTCCTCGCAGAGCAGCGGATGATGATGACTCCCT